TGTTTTTAGAAACGGTGGTGTAATAAAGCAAAATGAGAAATGGTTCTTGAATAATCAACAAATAGAAACTGTAACTTATTATAACTATCTGGGCCTAATATTTTCCTCCAGATTGAACTGGAATAAAAATATTACTAACTTATCAATTAAAGCGGAGAAGGCCTTGATACCTATAAGAAGTTTAATTAGAAAGACGGAATATTTAGATATCAACCTGTGTTTCAAGATTTTTGATCATGTTATAAAACCTGTCCTCATCTATGGAGCCGAGTTGTGGGGTTTTCAATATCGGCACGAAATTGAAAAGGTGCATAACAACTTTTGCAAGTTCATTTTAGGAATTCATAAGAGTTCCTCAAACGCTGGAACACTTGGGGAATGTGGAAGACACAGTTTAAGCATATATTATACTTTGTGTTGTATTAAATATTGGTGTAAACTATTGCGTATGCCCATAGATCGTTATCCTAAACAAGTATTTATTATGTTAAAACAATTAGACAAAGCCGGCAGGGTTAGTTGGGTGACAAAGGTCAGAATTATGTTATATTCCTTAGGATTTGGTTATGTTTTTGAAACTGAAATGATCGGCAATTTTAACATGTTTATAAGTCAAATTAAGTTACGATTATCAGATATAAACTTACAAGAATGGTCAGCTAAATTATCAGAAAGCGAAAGTTTAACAGATTATTGCAAATTCAAAATAAATCTGGTTCAAGAATCTTATTTATTATCGAACATTCAATTAAAACACAGGAGAAATATTACAAAATTTAGGCTAAATCTATTACCAACATGTTTGAATTTGCATAGACGGAATCAAACTACTTTTCCATTATGTCTATTATGCCATCAATGTGATGAAGATTTATTTCATTTTATGTTTGAATGCATAGAAACGAAGAACATCAGAGATGTTTGTTTTGAACGTGTACATTTGGCAAATATCAGTCGTTGTAACTTCCTAAATCTGTCAAATTCTAGCGATCCTTGTATATTATTATCCATCTCCCATTATATAGAAAGGGTCACCAAGTATCATGTATAAATTGCTGTAAATAATTAAGTCCGTGCCAGTTGATTGTTTGTAAATATAGCCTACTCAATTGCAACTACAGAATTATAATTATCTATACAGATATTTTGAAATTGAAAAAAAACCTTATGTCAGAATTGTATATAAACCTCCAATTGTCAACAATTAATAATTTTTGTATTGAATCGCACCTTTTAAAATATAATTGTACATATCATTTTCTAGTTGATTCAAACTTGTAGCGTTTGGTCTCTGACCTATATTACTGCAATAAACTTATTCTTCTATTCTTCTTATAAGATATACAAGCATGCCGATCGGATATCATTATTTCAAAATATATCATCACCACTGGTCAAAAACATAAGAGTTGGATAGCGACGATTCTTTAGCGAGAAATCATTTCGCCATATGTATCATCATATTAGTGTCGCTAAAATGTTCTAAAGGTGAACGACAGGTATAATTGTAAGCATTTCTTACAAATATAATTGAAATTTATATCATTCTATCAGGGATTCAGATTCTGATACCTTTACAGTACCTGAAAATAACTATAGGCCTATTGTACACGCAACACATAAATTTATAGAAAATTGGCAATCCTTGAATGAGATCTGACGTGTAAATACTGAAAATATATTGTGCAGTACGGTGTTCAAATAGACTTAAGTCACCAAAAAAAAAGGATCTTATTAAAGTAGCTAAGTCTCTAACTCAATATCATCAAAAACCTTTGACAATGAAAACACGAATTATTTGTCAAATTTAATCAATATTGGTGTTGTGATCTTACCGGGAAAAGATGGGCTTCTGATATCCAATATTTAAGACAAAATAAACATTTTATGATTGGTACACGAATCGTGTACCATAATGCGTTTCAGCGCAATTTATAACAGTCGACTTGGAAGAACGAGATTAGACATATTCCACGAATCATGCCCAATAAATACTATCGGTGTAGACTGGAATAACCAGACGCTAGAGATTGCCATTCGATTGAGACTTCTGGTGTATTTCGCCGAACATAACTGGCACTGCTTTGAAATTAGAGTAAAGATGGGTTGCCAGGCAACAAAACATACGCCCACAGCAGCTAAATCGTCCGAGCAGTCGACAAGGGTTGTCACATATTTATTCTTTTGTAGGTAATTAGGGGAATTTAATAGACAATTTCATACAGATGACATTATAATTTCCGTTGTTTGAAGGTTCACAAGGTTCTAAAATCTAAAACAAGGGCCGTAACTCTGGAAGCAATCTACAGAAATTGTTCAAAAATCGACAGGCTTTTTTGTTTTAATAATTCAAATAGTGCATATGAATTTCATACAGATCTGATGATAACTTTTGTTGTTCGAAAGTTCACAAAGTTCAACAAAGTAAATCAAGGGCCATAACTCTAGACTTAATTGATGGAAATTGCTGACATTCAATAGGCTTGTTTGTCTTCATTTCACTAATTTAGGTGATAACTGAAACTCAATAGGCTTTTTCGTTTTACTAATTTAAATGATACATATAAATTTCATACAGATCGGATAATAACTTTTGTCGTTAAAGCATTTACAAGGAACAACAAAGTGAAACAAGGGCCATAACTCACGGCGTAATTAACGGAAATTGCTGAAATTCAATAGGCTACTTCATTTCACTAATTTAAATGATGCATATCAATTTCAAACAGATCGGATGATAACTGTTGTCATTAGAGCCTTCACAATATTCAACAAAGTGAAACAAGGGCCATAACTCTAGATGTAATTAACGGAAATTGCTGAAATTCTATAGGCTTCTTTGCTTTACTAATTTAAATGATGCATATAAATTACATACAGATCGGTTGATAACTTCTGTTGTTAGAGCGTTCACAAGGTGCAACAAAGTTAAACAAGGGCCATAACTCCAGAAGAAATTAACGGAAATTGCTGAAATTCAAAAGGCTTCTTCATTTCACTAATTTAAATGATGCATATCAATTTCAAACAGATCAGATGATAACTGTTGTCATTAGAGCGTTCACAAGATTCAACAAAGTGAAACAAGGGCCATAACTCTAGATGTAATTAACGGAAATTGCTGAAATTCAATAGGCTTCTTTGTTTTACTAATTTAAATGATGCATATAAATTTCATACAGGTCGGTTGATAACTTTTGTCGTTAGAGCGTTCACAAGGTGAAACAAGGGCCATAACTCCAGAAGAAATTAACGGAAATTGCTGAAATTCAATAGGTTTCTTCATTTCACTAATTTAAATGATGCATATCAATTTCATACAGATCGGTTGATAACTTTTGTCATTAGAGCATTCACAACATTCAACAAAGTGAAACAAGGGCCATAACTCTAGATGTAATTAACGGAAATTGCTGAAATTCAATAAGCTTTATTTTACTAATTTAAATGATGCATATAAATTTCATACAGATCAGTTGATAACTTCTGTCGTTAGAGCGTTCACAAGGTGCAACAAAGTGAAACAAGGGCCATAACTCCAGAAGAAATTAACAGAAGTTATTGAAATTAAATAGGCTTCTTCATCTCACTAATGCAAACAACATATATCAATTTCAAAACAACCGGTTGATAAATGTAGTCTGTAGAGTGTTCACAAGAAATTATGGACGGACGGGGGCGACGGCAATGTGGGCGTATAAAAACGGAAAGTAGCTAAGTCTCTAACTCATCAAAAACCTTTGACAATGAAAACACGAATTATTTGTCAATTTTAATCAATATTGGTGTTGTGATCTTACCGGGAAAAGGTGGGCTTCTGATATCCAATATTTAAGACAAAATAAACATTTTATGATTGGTACACGATTCGTGTACCATAATGCGTTTCAGCGCAATTTATAACAGTCGACTTGGAAGAACGAGATTAGACATATTCCACGATTCATGCCCAATAAATACTATCGGTGTAGACTGGAATAACCAGACGCTAGAGATTGCCATTCGATTGAGACTTATGGCGTATTTCACCGAACATAATTGGCACTGCTTTGAAATTAGAGTAAAAACGGAAACGATTGAATGTAAATCAGTTTTTTTTACGCCCACATTTTCATGTGGATGTATATTTTACATTCATATTACATTATTATATAGCTTGTGTCAATTTGTAGGTCCCAAATATTAACGATTTTGCTCCTTTAAATCCAAACTGTGCTAATGTATTATAATTATACAGACCAGCAATTTCAGCAAGTTTGAAATTTTATTTTCATAAATTGTGACCAACTCAGCAGTTCAAAGGTTAAGAGCACAAAGCCAATAATTCCATCAAGATTTATATTTGGATCTAGTTCATGACAAGTCGAACAACCCCAGCAAGTCTTGATAGGGTTAATTTCTGTTAATAGAAACACAATCCAGCAGGTTTAGAATTATAATCTAAAGAAATCTGACCTGTAACTCTGAATTGGGTTCAAACATAAAACTTGTAAAAAAAATCCAAGATGGAAGATGACAATCGGAAGTTGGAGGACCGAAGTTTCAACATTATACAACCACATTTGGGTATTTAATTGTAGACAAAATGAAATGAAAGGGTTAACATTCTATTGTTCTGCTCTGACTGGGATAATGAAGACAGGGACTTGGAGAGAGAGAGAGAAATGGGGTTTAACGTCCACTTGACACAAACTAGGTCATTTCGGGACTAACATATTGTTTAATTTTATTTCAATAATTCGCTTGCGCATAGGGGTCTTTAGCAGTGGGAGGAAACCGGAGAAAACCCACGAGGTTGGACAGGCGACCCTACTCCTTGTCACGTACAACCGGGGATTCGAAACCACGGCAGTCGACTCAATGACCGACTTTATGATACAGCGCGCGTACGCTAACCATTAAGCCATCCAACCCCCCCAGCGACTTGGAGGCAAGCAAAGATGTATAAAATGACAAAATAGTCAACACAAAAAGTGAGCAAAGGAAAAAAAAATGCTTCAGATTTTTCTATTTGATTTATTATTTTGTTTACAATACCAAATGCAACTGCAGATAAAACAATTTTTGTGTGATTAAATATGGCACAATTTCAATACTGAAAACAATTGGCTCTGAATTATCAAATGTATTATCACACTCTAATAAGACACTGCAACAACAATAATGTGAAACATTTGAAGGGATTCATGTCTTTATCAGATGAATTTAAATAACAGTCCCAGTAGCCACAGGACAATGAAAATAGACTTAATCCTATTCAGATTTTAGTGATTCTTCTGATCATGTTTAACTATATTGGGGCAAAAAATATTACATTGTTATAGAAATTTTTTGTTTTAATGAACAAGTTTTCAAACACAATGGGAACTATGTATGTCATTCTTCATTAAATGCCTGGAGCTAAAGGGATTTCAAGGTCATTGATACACTGGTGTATTTTCAATGACATTTATGTACATTTAACAACCCAGACAGTTCTTTTACATACTACAATATCTATATATATATATTATATAACTTAAAAATACCACATGATTTATAGATGTCTTGTAAATTGGAAGGTGAACATGTCTTAATTCACAATAATGACATAAATGCAAAAATTAACATCACAGTGCCTACACATAATATTTATTTTAATGATTTTACACATCCACTGCAAACTGTCCAGGTTTAAGTAAATTAATTTAATGGTCAATAAACATAAAAAAAAATCAACTAAATTTTATTTAAAGCAAGTAAAAGATCAACAACAAATAACAATGTATATTTGAATATATCTATAATAATAAACATTAGGTCTGGTGTATTTTGATTATGGTTTGTCATTTTGCCATTTAAGGGTGTGTATATTTCATTACCCAGTATCTGAATCTAAAAAAAATTTATAAACATTTTTTAGCTTTAGTTTTCTTGCAAACCTTGTACTACAGGGGTTGTGATTACACAAATCTTGATTAGAAACAACAGAATCATGGCATGCACTAATTTATCCATAGTATATGCCAACACTGTTTGATTGAAATTATGTTAAATTATCTAATTCCAGCAAGCCAAACATTACTATAACAGCAAGGCTCACACTATAAAAGCAACACTCAACTTGGGATTAATATGAATTTCAAAATGTAAGCTTGAGAGAAACCCGGTAAACTTTCAGTGGATCACCATTAATGCTGCATACCATATATAATTTATATGAAAGACTTATAATGTCTATCAATTCAATACAAATTTGAACAATTATAATTGAAATTTGAAACTGAGTATAATTAGATCATTATTTCAACAAAGTAAATTTTAAATATACAGAATATGATATAGACATAATCACAAGGTTTGTTAATTAATAAATAAATATCTTTTAGAGGCATTTAGTAACTGGATAGAGCAATAAACTATAAACACATACTTATGTTTATAAATAATTGCTCTACACACTTGTTACTGTACTTGCTTGAAAACGTTGAGAGAATACTCTTCGAAACGTCGCCCAAATAAATCAGTAATTGTTCTTCCATAAGTATGTGTTATAGTTTATTAATAAATAAATAGTACAATTATTAGTACATTTCTATGGGAATATTTCTATAAATCCAACTATTCTACATACGTGTACATTACATACAAGCTTTCCATAAAGGCAACACGGGTCTAAAATATATCAGCACCTTTGCATAATGAACACAACAAATCAAATAGTACCTATGTTCAGTAGAGTGTTGGCATCATATCTGTAATGACAAGCCAAGATCAAGCATACATTAAAGATACATTATGTAAGATTTAGATAAAGAACTAGCAATTCTTGCTATAATAGTTCGAAAGAAGATGATGTAAAATGAATAATTTGAAAATTTCATTCAAATTACTCTATTGCAAGCAAAGATATTAGCCTTTGAAGATTTGACAGACGTGTGCAATAATTTCAACCACCGTACTGGTTGATCGAAGCTAAGTCTTGGTTCTCCATATTTGATTAAATCAAAGTATCGCTGAACCATTCTAATCTATTTAATATCGGAGAAATCTGATGCCATCGAGAGTTGATTAAGGCCTGGATCAGTTAATTAATGTCTAATTAATACTATAGAAAACATTTCAGGCCTAAAGAAAGTCCTGCAATAGGCAGATTTAGCTCTTGCATAATGCATGTTTAATATACCATGACTTGTAGTGATAAACATTACCGTTAGCTTCTACTCAACACAGGACAGGTAGTATGAATTAGGAACTTTTGTGTATACATGTTATTTTTATACCGGTATCTATTTCTACAGGCCAGCGCTGGCATTTCTTAAAGAAACGCTCACAAAACTTGCAAACGAACATCAATGCTTGATGACGCCAAGCAAATCAGACCTACCGGTACTTAAAGGGACTATCCCGAATTGAACAGAGTCGCAAAAATAAAAGTCCGAGTACGTATGAAATTTAAGCACCAAAATATAAAGGAATGGTGTATTTACCCTGTCTCAAAATTTCAGCTCGAAATATTGAGGCATTTGGACGTGAACCTCAAAACTGCTTATCCGGACACGTAACCCTTTTAAGATTTTGGGTCAATTCTTTCGTTGGGTGACCTGATAATCAATTCCCGTTCCTTTAGAGGTTTATACAGTGAATGACCCATGTGCTGTACTTCATAACGAAAGGTAAATTTCACCTACACATTATTCTTATAAAATAAGTCTGGTTTTATCCAGACACCGCAGAATACAGCTTGGGGCACCGGTCCCCACTTCCAGATTAAGACTGACGGGTTTAAGTTGTTTGAAAACGTATCAAATATATTGAGTTAGTTGCTCGGCCCTAAGGTAGAGGATTTTAACACAAAAGTATCCAGTTTTATTCTCCGAAATATTATCGGGATTGGCCCTTTAAGACCCAGTTTTTACCACCAAATTACTTGAAGGGCATCCTGATTTTATGCCTGCTTTTTTAAATGAACTTATATATGTATTATTACATGCACACATATACATTTAGATCATATCAAAACAACATTTTATCATAAGCTTCATATAGTCAACTCAGGAAATTAGAAACTCAATTCAAATTACTCTACCATTTAGAATTATCAAATTACATGTCAATTCAATAATAGTATTTTGCTTTCAATTACATTTAAAAGACTCAAAGAGGTAAACATACTATATAAATTGTACACGATATATAATTACAGAACCTGGCCAAGATTAATGGTATGTATATTCAAACTATAAATTCATTGTAATGAAACAATATTCAATGAATAACTAAACTAAAATAAAATGGTAACACAAAATTGTTTTTTTTTAAAAGTCTAGCTATTCAAATCATTTCATTCTTTGAAAGTTGATAATCTGATTTGATGCTGACAATGACTTTAATAAAGAACATTTATGATTTAAAATTAATATTAAAGATACATTATGTAAGATTTAGATAAAGTGTTAGTTGTTCTTGCTGTAATAGTTCGAAAATAGATAATGTAAAATGAATAATTTGAAAATTTCATTCCAATTACTCTTTTGCGAATGAAGATATTAGCCTTTGAAGGTTTGACAAGACGTGTGCAATAATTACAACCACCGTACTGGTTGTTCAAAGCCAAGTCTCGCTCCTCCATTTTTAAATTAAATTAAAATATTGCTGAACCATTCTAATCTATGTTAAACATAAATTATGCAAAAGCTTAATCTGCCCATTGCAGGTCTTTCTTTCGACCTGAAATGTTATCTAAATTATTAATTAGACATTAATTAACTTATCCAGACCATAATCAACTCTCGATGTCATCGCTAGCCTGCAATGTTTAGCGGATTGGAATACATTTTTTGAAAAATAATTAAACATAAAAATGGATAATCAAGACTTTGTTTTTTTATCGTACAGACTTTAGTAATGATGATCGAGGCTAGGCTAAAATTCAAAAGCAATTTGACTGAAATTTTCAGCATATTCTATTTACGTTATCTATTTTTTCAAACTATTACAGCGAGAACTGTCAACTTTTGATCTAATCTCCCATAATGCCCCTTTAATAAAACAGGTTAACTCAAAGACTTCTAATCTTTATCTCAGTCCTGTACAAATGTTAGATTTCAAAGAGGATTGTTGCGGTTTCCAACCATACACCTGCACTAATGTCTGGATAGCAGTGTCTTTAGACTTGCCATAATGTGCTACCTGTAGTTATATTTATTAAGGTCACACAGAACACATAAACAATAGACCACAATTCCTTATTTCACTTACATAACTCTGTAAAGCATTGTTGGCAAAAAGCTCAATAATTTGAGGTGACACTTTCGGATAAAGTGAATTGTCCATTTCTTCATTTTGGTGTTTGATTTGCATACTTTTATTGATGGATACGGAATCTGAGACTCCTCCATTTAATATCTAACATACTTTACAGTACGGCCGTCACGATGGTTTGACGGGACACGATATTACCGTGTTTTTTATCGTGGAATTCCGTGATTTACCGAGTGAACACCGAGCGAATATCGAGTGACACGATAGCACTGCCTCGGTGTTGGAAACACGGTGTGACTCGGTGTTTTAATTAAACCATGCCTCTGATCGTTTATTTTAGGATGAAGTACATGTAGAGCTATACATTGTTATTATAGATCACTTAATGTGTTGGTAGCTACGTGTGAAGATTTGCGTACGCGTTTCTTTGATCTGTTATATCATGGACCGTATATAGGGTTATATCACAGGGTAATTCTGTTATTTAAACCCGGGTATTGTCATCTTTTAAACAGAAATATGCTTATACCGATACATTATTACTTCATTAATATGTTAGACATTTGTAAGACTTGCATCGATGGACCATTACAAATTCAATCAAATTACTGAAAAATTATAACATGACACCAATATATGCTAGTCTTACCGGGGGCGTAGATTTATCCATCTAAATAGTAATTCACATACTGATAAATAATTCTGGTTTAAATCACAAATAAATTAAAAGCCTTTGTCTCCTGATATGTAATCACACAAAGTCAGAATTCACCGTCAACAAGTTTATGGAACTTTGCTGAACACATGTACATTGACACGTATCAGTCCGATAATACCTTGCTGACGTTTTCATTTCGGCACCATAGAGTCTGGTGGATGCATACTGTCAATCAAGGTTCCACAATGAGAACTGACACGTGACATGAAAGGAAATCGACTGACAGAACATAGACGCCCCTTTAACAACAAACTATTACCTTGTTGTAGTCTTGTGCTCGTGGACAATATGACTTTTATTGTTAATTGTCAGTAGTAATAAATACATATTTTCAAAAGAGATGTCGATTTCTTTTTGATTATACATGAAGCTTCAGTCCATTCAATTACCTGTATTTATTACTCAAATGGTTTCTTAATTAGCAGAATGTGAAAATAAAGAAAACAAAGTTACACTTAAAATATGACTACGGTAACCAAGAAGTTATTCGTCGCGATTTCACGGGGTTGTTAGGATTCGACCGGACCCCCACCCAATCCGCTACATGTAATACCAATTTGTAACGAGTAATTGTGATTACTCTGTTACGGTAAAACTCGTATTTTTGTTTAAATCGGTACAGGCTTAAGGTTCACGCAGGCAGAGCGGCTTATGAACAAAATGATGTTTAGTCATTTGCAGTTGACATATTCTGCCTTACACCGGTGGAAATCATTTCATTATATTGTGCACAAACGTCATTCCTTAAATAGCCCCACGCCCCTTTAACAACTGAATTTTCTGTTAGACCATTTATTCTACACTCTTTGATGTGCTTTCTAGATTAATTAATTTCATAACTATTGAAGAATACCAGTTGGTTGTTTATATTGTTTTATTTACCTAACGATCAACGATAAGTTCACCAATGTTTTTGTAATAAAGTAGACCCGTATTGTTTGCTGATTGACTTTATCCCATGATTTAAAAAATTGGCGATGGTTAATATTGGGTCAACAATAATTCCTTAAATTGCGCCGGAGCCCCTTTTACATAAACGGAATTCGCATTTTATAAGACGGCGATTATTCGTACATGTATGTCGGGCCAAAAGGTCATTTCTTAAATAGTACGAACCTCCCTTTAACAAGAGAAATTGGAATGATATGTTTCGGCATGATAAATAATGTTAAAACTAATCGTTAATCTATTTTCCGTACACGAAACGAAACAACTCCAAATATAAGGAAACATTGTCGTGAATTTATCAGTTAGATTTTCGGCTGATATCTTTTACCGCTTACAAATGTACATTATTAAAAATTTACGCATTTGTAAAAAGTGTTTACCTTACCTTTTATACTCATATTGTAGATGTTAAATATCCTTAATACTTATCACAGGCAAATATAAAAATAATACCAATCCAAATTAATATCCTTTTGCAAATAAACTTGCATATATAATCAACTTGGAATACCAAAATTTAAATCGTAACGCATTGTGCTCTAAACGGTATCATAAATTATAAAATAAGCCAAAAATCAATGGACCTGTTGTAAGGTGAACACTGCATGGTTTCTGGCAACTTTGGGTCTTTGCGGCACAATGTAGTCTTAACCAATAAAAACAACAAAGTGGCTACGTGCGATTTTTTTCTTTGATCTTGGATCCAAGGGACGTTTCTGTTATTCAAACCAATCTGCACGAGAATGACAACATACAAGTTGACAGTTATCATTGATTTGGGGTTCATGTGGAATAGATTCTTCCATCGAAATACAGTTATTCTTTTCTAAAATAAAACGAGTGCCTTGGATTTTTGCGTGGATTTGATAGCGGTTATAATTAACTAATATTCTCTTACATCGGAGACTTGTGTCGCGTTCATTTCATTTTTACGGTAAGTACGAACTTATGTCTGATTTGAAAGCGCTTTCGAACCCCGTTGCAAGTTCTATTTGTCTTATTTCTATTTGTAAGACCGGTAACCCAAATACCGTTATAGTTTGCAATTTAAAAGTCTATCTTTGCCGTGATTCGAGAGTAGTTCTTAACTATAAACTCATAATATAGTAAATATGCAAAACAATTTGAACACGGAATAAATATCTAAACTGTGTAATACATGTATAGTCTTATGCATACGTGTCCTTCAAAGTGTACTAGACATGCAGCTTTACATGACTGGTTACATAATGTAACCGCATATATCGTGCAGAATATGTGAGCACGCATGTTCTAACTATACAAAGTGACCTAATGCGTCCGTATTATTAACGAAAATATTCAACATTCATAACATCGTGACTGTATATCGTTTTGACATCGATTGTTTATGACAAATAAATACCGTTAATTTTGCATGTAAAATTACACCGAGGCCTATCGTGTCGCACGACTATCGTGGCACACGATAGCGACTGCTACACCGAGTTATTTATCGTGGCAATATCGTGGCGTTATCGTGGCAATTTTCAACAAAAAACGACACGATAATCGTGTTTCATCAAAGCGTCGCGGCGGGCGTACTGTATATTAAAGAAAGGATGGATATGGATGATATACAATGTTGATTAATTATTTTACTTAAAATTAATTAAGATGATACCAAATAGATTTTACAGTATATTAATATATCTAAACTCTCTATATGACACATGTTCTATGACTGTTCACGATGGCAATTATTATTGGTCTATCCTCAGCAATATTTTTCTGCATGTACACAATAAGGGTAAAAAGTAATGTATTACTATTACTCATGCAACACATTTTATTTGGTTTAAACTGTCAAGGGATCAACAGAAGATCGTTTGCCTATGCATAGAACATGAGGCATATTGGTTGTGGAAGCTTACATACTGTACTGATTTCTGTGGATAATGTATAATTGATGGGTATAGGCGGTGGTTATGTCGTTGATATTAACATAGGGTTGGATTAAATAATAAAACCAGCTGTAAGTCTCAGTGATGAAAACTAACTGCACAGGTTGTACATCAATTAAATAAATCTAAACATAAAAGGTGTATTCAAAACCATGTTCTTGAATTACATAAGTACATATGATAACCATTGATATAAATGTTCATGTCTGTACTGAGTATGGTATTGATTTGAAAAATTTGGGCCAAGATGGGGTTTGCTTAACATTCTAAACTTTTTGATAGTCAATCTGTACCCCTACTGATCAATGATATTTGTTCACAAGCCTTTACAAACAGTAGTTTTGAATACACCTGCAGATTTACATGTGGTCTTTAAATATAAAGACATAATACAGGGGGAGATAAATCTAATGTATTATTAGCAGCAACCACCACTCTCTGGTTCTCCCTCTGCTAGATGTACTGTTTCTTTAGGACGAGCAAAACCATACTTGACTCCATCCCAACCTTCTTCTATTTTGATTTTTCCATCCTCTATATTGTGATAGATATCTTTGGCAATCAAAGAAAATGATTCCTCTACATTCTGTCCATTCATGGCCGAAGTTTCAACAAATTTCAAACCGTTTATTTCAGCAAACCTTCGCCCATCTCTTGTTGGTACCTGTCGAGCTTCATCCTGATCTGCTTTATGACCAATTATAAGATACACAGCTTGATGGGGATCTATATGCATCTTAGCTTCAGCATACCATTCCTTTACATTATCAAAACTACTCTTTTTAGTAATGTCATATAATATCATAACACCCACAGAATTTCTATAATACGACCTTGTTATTGACCTGAAAATACAAAACAAAAAAAACATTTATTCAAATTATTGATAAAAATTCACAAAATTTATTTAGTCTCAATTATCCTGTCCTCTTGTTCTGCCAGACAGAATTGACAATAAATCATCCTTAAAGTTACAATTTCATATTTTTAAAGTGAGAATTTCATATTTTCTAAGAAAGTTAAAACATAATTATTTCTATGTCATTTGCTCAATAGGTTGTCAACTCACTATTATAGGATCATAGGTATCATTCTCCCACTTATAAATCCTTCACCCCGGAAATACTAACCCAATTATCTCCCTTGTTTTTTCTATCCCCCTCCCCCCCCCCCCCCCCAACAAGCAATAGTGAATTATAGGATTAATAGGATTATTCTTTAACAAGGTAGGACTGTTTTTAGATACCATCTATTTTAAGGCTTTATTTTAATACATTTTAAAAATATAACTTAAAGTTGCAATTTCATATTTTTAAGTTATATTTTTAAAATGTATTATCATTTTCAACTTCAAATTCAAACGTTTGAAGTTAGCTATTCCATGGTGGGGAATAGGAAAAAAAGGGAGGTAATTGTGTTATTATTTCTGGTGTGAAGATTTGTAAGTGTGAGAAAGATAATCTATGATCGTATAATAGTGAGCTGACAACCTATTGAGCCAAAGACATAGAAATAATTGTTTTGACTTTCTTAGAAAATATGAAATTGTAACTTTAAACTTGAACTCTTTTGGATAGAGCACACTTAAAATAGTTGGAATGCAATCGTTGTCTCTCATTGGCTAGCCTACAGGTGTTGTAATCAGTGTAGTCATTTGCTGTAATGTTAGTGGAACTTTTGGCCACCATTGACTCTAATGTTAATTCTTGTCTTTTGACATGCTCTAAGTTTTCCCAAAATATTCGTGGGTTTGAACACTTTCTACCATTGATGGAGAAACATGTTGCATTGTTTTGCTCGAAGCATGTACATGTATGAGGTACACCATGGAAATCTTGAGATACACAAACTATCTGCCCAACCCACACGTATCAACATAACCAACCTCTTAACTCTTGTTATCCTTCCACCTCTAAATTATGAATATTCACCAAAACCTGACAGAAAATGTAAATTCAAACCCTTTTCTTTGATTCTAAACCAAAAAGTCAACTTGTCACCTTAAGTTTACGGAAGAAATACTTATTGCAGTAATCTGCCTGTCTTTACATGGTACATGTACATAAATGTATCTGTAAGCTTACACAATTCCATACAATATTACAATTATCGAATAAGTTTAAGGCTTATACACCAGTTCTTTATCCATTTGGAAACCAATTGGCCAAAGGCCATAATTGGTCAATTGTATTTATTGTATCTGTAGGCCATGAGTACCAAACTGTAAAAATAAACAAGGCTATAGATCTGTGACCAATAACTGCATCCAATGTAGCCTTAATTTTCCTTCAATACATGTACAGTATGTGGTTGATACACAACCTATTTAAAGAAAATCCTATATTACTGTAAGATACATTATGGGAGATTAGATAAAGAACTGGCAGTTCTCACTATAATAATAATAGTTAAAAACTAGGTAATGTAAAGAGAATTTGCTGAAAATTTCAGTCAAATTGATCCACTCTGACCCAAGATTTTAGCGATTGAATTTTCGGCCTAGCCTCGATCGTCATTAGTTGGTACGATAAAAAACATAGTCTCGATAATCCATTTCATGATTAAACAAGCCAACAGTGAGGCTGATGTCCCCCGCCGAAATCCCCAAATAAATAGATGACACATATTAATTAATCGCACATCTATTTTTTTTCCAAAGTATCAAGCAATCAAACTGATTATCAACTATACACTAAGTTTCATCACTCTCTATCAGATAGAATCAAAGTTATCTTGTCCCAAAGCAGGAAATTGCTTATCTCTGCTTAGCTTTAGCTCGATATGTTAATCATTGAACTCAGTCAAGACGAACATCTACATCAAGTTTAAACATTCTACCTCAATTAGAAGAAGAGTTGTTATGTTCCAAAGTCTTGACCAATCAAACTGCTTATTGCTCGTTAGCCTAAGCAGAAAATTCTCATCATCAAACTTAGTCAAGGTATTGATGTAATGAAACTATACACCAAGTTTCATCAATCTCACTTAATTAGAACCAAATTTATCGTGTTCCAAAGCATCAACCAGTCAAATTGCTTATCTCTGCTTACCCTAAGCCGAAAATGACGATCTTCGCACTCCATCAAGGCATTGACCTCATAAACCCATACACCAAGTTTGAACATCCAAGCTTAATTAGAGAGAGATAAATGGGGTTTAATGTCCACTCGACACAAACTAGGTCATTTCGGGACTAACATATGGTTTAATTTTATTTACATAATTCGCTTGCGCGTAGGTGTCTTTGGCAGTGGGAGGAAACCGGAGAACCCAGAGAAAACCCACGAGGTTGGACAGGCGACCCTACTCCTTGCCACGTACAAACGGGGATTCGAAACCACGCCAGTCGACTCAATGACAGACTTTATGATACAGCGCACGCACGCTAACCATTCAGCCATCCAACCCCCCAAGCTTAATTAGAAATGAAATGAAATGGGGTTTAACGTCCTACTGTTTTGCTCCGAACTGGGCTAATGAAGACGGGCATACGCCATACAGTGTGCTATGAGGGAAATTTTGCCCGGACAGCGGCACTACGGCCTACTCTTATATCGAATTCCAACTGTCAAGGGATCTTTTACGTGCACGCCAATGAGTACACGGGACCTCGGTTTTTCGTCACATCCAAACGACTAGACAGCTGTCCTTGTCAGCCCCTCCGTCCTGCATCACTGACAAGGGAGAACCACGCCGGAAAATCTGGATGAACTTTCTAGGCCAATGCAGGGATCGAACACCCGACCCCCAGGCTAGCGAGCCAGCGCCTTACCCACTTAGCCACCGTGATCCCCAGCTTAATTAGAAGGAGAGTTATTGTGTTCCATAGTCTCGGCCAATCAAATTGCTTTTCGCTCTGCTTACCATGAGCAGAAAATGCTCATCATCGAACTTAGTCAAGATATTGATGTAATGAAACTATACACAGAGTTTCATCACTCTCACGTAAGTGGAACTAAAGTTATCGTGTCTCAAAGCATCAACCAATCAAATTGCTTATCTCTGCTTACCCTAAGCAGAAAATGCTTATCTTCACACTCCATCAAGACATTGACCTAATAAACACCTACACCAAGTTTGAACATTCTAGCTCAATTAGAAGGAGGGTTATTGTGTTCCAAAGTCTCAGCCAATCAAATTGCTTATCGCTCTGCTTACCCTGACTAGAAAATGCTCATCATCGAACTTAGTCAAGGTATTGATGTAATGAAACTATACACCAAGTTTCATCACTCTCACTTAATTGGAACTAAAGTTATCGTGTCCCAAAGCACCAACCAATCAAAATGCTTATCTTTGCTTAACCTAAGCAGAAAATGCTTATCTTCACACTCCATCAAGGCATTGACCTAATAAACACCTACACCAAGTTTGAACATTCTAGGTCAATTAGGAGGAGAGTTATTGTGTCCCAAAAAGTGTGACGGACAGACAGACGGATGGACAGACAGCAGAAAATGTTCATCTTCGAACTCCATCTAGGCATTGACCTAATAAACTCCTACACCAAGTTTGAACATTCTAGCTTAATTAGAAGGAGAGTTATTGTGTCCCAAAAAGTGTGACGGACAGACGGACGGACGGACAGACGGACGAACCCATTTTAATAGTGAGAATGAAAATGGAGCAGCAAATGGGAACCTAATCCAGTAAACATCACAGGCTATAGTTGACATCGCGAGTTGATTATGGTCTGGATAGGTTAATTAATGTCTAATTAATAGTTTAGATAACATTTCAGGCCTAAAGAAAGACCTGCAATTGGCAGATTTAGCTCTTGCATAATGTATGTTTAATGAAGTAAATATATCTTAGCTAAGATTCCATACTTAATTCCAACTGAAAAACCATTCAATGAATAAAATTTGAAGACTTTTAAATATGGCCTCAAAGGCAATAGTTTCAAGCTTCTACTGTATTAAAATTTTCAAGATCTATTCTAACGAAATACTACATGTACATGTAGCTTCATTCATCTTATATTATAAATACTGTAGTGTATTTAATCTTTTTACTATTTAGTTTACCTGTCATGTAAGTCTGCATTATCATAGTAGGGATTATATGGCTAAATATAAAATAATAGGGAAGAAACTCTTACACACCACACAATCATTGATTTTTCTGTCCTAACATTACAATCTATAATTGTAGTAGACTGCTAGAATGAATAGAGATGGATGTCTACCACACATCACGATCTAAAATGTCAATATACATGTAATAGTATTATAATATAATCAGCTTAATGGTCGGTAATACCTAGTATTCTTGTATTAAAAGAACGAAACAAACAAACCAATAAATGTCTTGTGAATGGGCACACATAGATTTTAATGAATTATGTCATAAATGTCTGTCTAGGTCTGACTTGAGCGCAACTGAATTTTTGGTTTCTCATACGAAATTCACTATAGAAAATTTTGAAATTCAGTAGGGTTCAATAATCCCATCAAGTTTTTAAAATTCTATCAATCTTTCATAACTTAAAATGCAAACAAGAGGATAACTGTGATTTTTGATTGAAACTTTTGAAATTTCACTACTGGTCGGGTTCTTAAACAATGAATAATCCCTGCAAATTTGAAAAAAAAACTTGTTAAGAACTCCGACCTGTAGTGTAGACAAACAATGGGCAGGGTGACGACCCTACATTCATATCAAATGTGGTCATCAATTTTCATGATAAATTTATTAAATATGAAAGTGTCTTAAAAGCATATTAACATCTGTATCAGTTTTACAATCTTTAGTCTAGAAGTGGTACAATTTAATTTTTTTTTACACATTACATGTACGTACATAGCCTACAGTGTATGCCAACATAAAATGTACTTTAATTTTGGTCTGCCCTTTCTGTTAGTCAACATATCCAACTTCTTGAATAGCTTCTGCACAAAGTATGTGTATTTTATTGTTATGTTTCTCAGGAATTTTAACTGTCTGGGATTGATTGGCTAGTCATATTGAAATTTGAGGTCATGTATTGATCGATGTTTTACCAATTATTGACTATCACAGTGTAATGGTGCAACATATTAACAATGTAGTATGAAAAGTAGGCCTATTAATCCATGCATGTAAATGAGTTTATCTTCAACTGTGACTATTGATTGAATGTTGCAAGCAATGAGTATGCATGCTGAAGGTTGCAGAGCCTTCAACAATGACATACATGTACAGTATACAAATAAAAAGAAATGTACAGAAACTAAAAGATCCGTAATTTGCACTCAAGCTGGGATTTCAAGCACAAGTCGTAATCCTTCTGGTGTTTATCATTTTGTTGGGTACAGATTTGCCTTTTTTCAGTCTTTTTATTGATACCATTAATATACATTGTATGTCCAGCTAAAAGTTCAAAATATCAAATACAGGATACCATATAGGCCTATACACCTGACATGTTGTCAGGTACAACTGAAAACATGATTTCCAGGCCTAACATATAAAGTACTGCCTCAATCAACTCTGAATAATAAGGTAAATAGATAGACTTAATCTACATGTACATGTACACCATATACAAAATCACTGCAGAAGTGATCCAGAATAGTAGAAATACCTCCTTCATACATTTCACCAGTTACAGCTGGCTGTCAAGGGAGAGTGAACATTTCCTTTAGAACATCATGGCATAATACCTACATGTAATCCCCATCTCCCCAAAACTATAGTATTCCTATAGCTATCTAATGTGTTGCGAGGTATATTATTTTGTTACAGATTATGAATAAAAAGAGAGAGTTCACATATATACTAAGCAGCAAAAGAAACGTCAGGTTGGTATGTTACTCTGAATAGACACATTGCATAAAACTTGCCAAATGGTTTTATTGTATATTTGTGACCACATCTCCAACTTTACCTGAGCAATAAGGCTTCTTCCCAAACACAGAATTGAACCCGGGAAATGTTCTCAAAAATCGCAACCTGCCTTCTGAGATGGTATTGTGTTCTCCATGATTTTCATGTAACTCATGCTGCACGTGCTGTTCACCGGGACCAGCCCTATGAAATGCACCACCATACCTTTTTGAATCATTCACACTACAACGTCAGCAGCATGCCACAACATATGACAGCTCAGAGGAACCAGGCGCTTGGAAGACTCGACGCTGGCCAAGCCGTTGCCAATCACTTCCAAGTCAATGTTCGGACCATTTACAGGCTTAAGCAATGCTTTCGGGCCACCAACACCACGGATGATAGCCCCCGAACTGGTAGACCAAGGGTTACCACAAGGCGAAAAGACCGCCATGTTGTGCGACAGCACGTGCAGAATCCCTTAACACAGGCATCTGAGACAGCACGTCAGACAGTGGGAAAACACGGAAGACCCATCAGTACCGATACAGTGCGGCGACGTCTGACCAGAGAGAACATCCATTGCCGTAGACCTTACTGTGGACCGATCCTCCCCCTCGCCATCGACGTGAACATCTACAGTTAGCCCAACAACACCAGAACTGGCAACACGGGCAATGTAGAACTGTTCTTTTCGCAGTTGAGGGTCGGTATTGTGTATCAACTGCAGATGGCAGGACCAGAATATGGCCTCGACGTGGCCAGCGTTATTCTGACCAATGTGTCATGGAACGAGACTCATGGGAAGGTCCAAGCATAATAGTTTGGAGTGGAATCAGCCTGAACCAGAGAGTGGGTCCTGTGGTGTTCCAAAATCTTGGTCCAGGTAGAGGAGGCGGCATCACAGCAATGTGCTACATCGATCAAGCGCTCAGACCCCACGTCATACCACATTTTGCAACTTTTTCCAGCATGACAACGTCCGTGCCCACAGCGCCAGAGTTACTCGCATGGGACTTTCTACAGCAGAACGGTTGTCAACTTTATGCACTGGCCAGCCCTTAGTTCAGACTTAAACCCAATTGAACATCTTTGGGATGAAATTCAGAGGAGACTTAATAACATCGCACCGAGATCAAACACAGCCGCTGAATTGCGCCAGGCTTTTCTAGAGTGTGGTTCCAGTTGCCAATGGTAGGGTGACCCGTGCACTCTACAGAAAGTTGGTCTCGACACGGCTAAATGTGCACGCTTCTGTTGCGTGTCTCGAACTGATTTCTGACTACCCCGCACTCTCTTTGAGTCGTTAAATAGCCATGGCATGTGCATTTCTCTACAAAATTATCAACTATTACAGCCGTAAAAAATCTATTGTTGACGATTTTGAATAGCAGTAAAATTTAGCTTCTTGGTTATTACAGCAGCTTTAGAAATTACGTTTGTTTTATTTTTTAAATTGCTTTATCATTAACTGTACCGTTAAGAGCTGCATCTTTTGGTTTAGTACAAATAATATCTCTGAAACACTCAGGTTAGACAAGAATATGATACTAGCAGTAGTTTCATTTTACTTTTACAAGTTTATTAAAACAATTGTTGAGTTGTCTAAAGTGCTTATTTCTATATTCAATTTCTTGTTCTAGCTTTCTGTTATGTTTCGTAAAAAAAGTAGTCTTGATTATCCCAACCTGTCAATCAGACGTAGAATGGTCGATAGACTGGTTAAGCGAGACTAATTTCAAAACAAGGGCAAGTAACCTATCTTTTACTCAAAAGTGTCTGGATGTTATGGACGACACTTGGAACCAGTTTTCAGTCTATTATTTATAGATGATTAATGGTCATAGCTTATTAAGTACAACATGATCGTTTATTTAGTGACTATAATTGTGTGAAACTGATTTGAGGCTTGGCATATATATAAATATTGAGGCGTAATTGTCGAGATATTTGGAGATATTTATTTATGGTGGGTCACCCTACCAATGGCGTTCATCAATCGTCTGGACCACTCCATATACATGTACAGACACTGCGCTGCTGTTATTGACAGTGACACTGGCGGTGAACACACCAGAAACTGATGTATAGACTGTGTACAGACTCTAAACCTTCTCGTAATGTCTTGGAATTGTGATGAATTAATCACTAATGTGTGTCAACATACTGTGCACAAAAAATTGCTTTGATCCATTTAGTAAGTCATTCTCTAGAATGATTTGATTAAAGTGCCCCTCTGATTTTGAAATCGTACTGACGGTTTTTTTTTTGCTGTTTAGTATATTTACAGTGTTAATGTTATTTACATGAATCCCATGTGATTATCATTCTACATTTTATCATCGTGTTACCTTTAACTTATTATGAGAGAATTACTTGTAGTGGGGTTCGTACATCCCTGCCCACCCTACAACTAGCCTCTAGATAAAATTGTAGCAGTCCATATGTATGATAACTGGGTTGAATTTCATGTCAAAGCTTACTACTTATGAGAGATGTTTTACAATGTAACAATCCTAGATATTTACACATAATAAAATATATTTTCTTTCTTTTCTTTAATACTTTAAACAACTGTTTTAAATGTAAATTAATAAATTCAGCTGTTTCTAATTATTAGTGAAATATTAATCAGTAAGTTGCCATGTTGAATACATTATGTAACTTTGCATTACATTTTGTCTGATAGTGATACAATACAGGTTATTTTTCAAGAAATTAATGTGTTTAATACATTTACCTAAATCGTTCTTGACCTGCAGTATCCCATAGTTGTAATTTCACTCGAATACCTGGTTTAACTTCGATCAGTCGAGCATAAAAATCTACTCCCACTGTTGGATCACAGGTCTCTTCAAATTTTCCATCAGTAAAATATTTCAATAATGATGATTTTCCTACAGTACTGTCTCCAATCAGTATCAGTCGGAATTGATACTCAAAAATAGGTTCGACCATTCTTCTTACTTAACAGAAGACGTCTATTTTGCTATCTACAAGTCAATCAACGATATCATTAATCATAAACACACTTATTTGTATTTACGTCGTCCGCATGACTTCCTATTCCCGATGTTTTGATCATGTGATCTAAAAATTGTGACTCTTTATAAAGTTTCTATTGATTGGCTGGTAAAAATAGAACAGCTTATTGGAACCTGTGTTGTAATATTTAACCAAAGTAGCCCTAGGTCATTGACCCTGTCATATCCGAATTATCTTCGCGGTGAGGAGGTACCTATAATAATTCCAATTACGGTAGTCAACCTTGCAGCAAAGTAATCAGTGTACACTGACAATTATACTCACCGCCCTCTGTCCTTGTAATGACAGCATGTTTTGTGAAGTAAACATACGGTCCCATGCAAATGGAACCAAATCCTAGTTGGGCGCTATTTTCATTTTCTTTAATGCAGTTTGATGCGGTGTGTGTACAGTGAACTCGATGAACAGGGTCGACTTGAACCAGTTCTGGGTTAGTAGGGGAGAGCGGGGATGGTCCGGACCCCCCCCACCCCCATAGCTTTAATCTTTACAATGCTATCCGTTTTCTGATTGGTTATTATACCTAATAGTTACTAAAGATTTCATCTTGTAACATGGAAAACACATGGCAGAGATAAACATTCAATTAATGTAGATGCAGATAAGCTTTTTTCTATTTTTGACAAAGTTGATGTAACAAATTTCTAAAGTTAAATTGTTAAATTAATTCGGTGTTTAACAAGTTTCTTTTAGGAGTAGGCTGTCACCTCTTTCTTCCTTTGCTAATTAATAGAAATACATTGAAAATTTATCATATTTTCATTGTAAATAAACATAATGGCTGCTTAGTGTTCAGATCAAACTGTTCAGTATTTCCAAGAGTCAGATTTGATAAAAAAAAAGAATGATGACTGGCAGTTGCGGGGTATAATAGGTATACTGAAATTATGGGTACTGCTTTACTTCCGTTAAATCAAATTCTGTCAATTCTTCCGAAACCCTTATCCAGTAGCAACAAGGGGATGAGTTATTACTACAAATTTGGTCCGTCATTTGCGGGAATAAACAGTCATTATCTTTTTCGATGTAAATTTCGGATTGATGTCATACAGCTAGAGAATAGCAAGAAGCTTCAAAGCTTTAGAATTATCAGTTAATTCCTTTTTGAATACGTTCATTTATTATCGTCCAGCTATGTTAAAAATATGTTTCAGTTAGATGACATTCAGCTTTAAATTTATCACTACTGTGTTAACTTTTTATTGTTAAAGGAACTTTTTGAAGAAATAGAACTAAACTGTGAAAGAAATCTTTAAAATTTGCTTTTGTCCAATCGTCCTCCACTTGTCCAAAGTATCCCCCCAGGGGTAACCGGTGTCTCCCAGCTAATGGGGTAAATCCAGACATTTTACTAACCCTCCAAAAATTGGCCCAACACAAAGACCTTTATAGCTACACAGCTGTATCACTGACTGAATATAGCCAATATGGTAATGTCTATTTTCCATTCTTAAGTTCTGAGACGAGTGCATTAGTAGTTGCATAAATGTGAAAAAACCCAAAAGTGTCCGAACCATCCCTGCTCTCCCCTACCCTGTTAGTAAAAGATTAGCTACGAGAACGTAGCTAAAAGGTTGAGATATAGGCTACTGACACTGATGTGCTTGTTTCGAAACACGGAGGGTTGAGAGATGAGGTTTGTTATCTAGTAAAAGATGTGCCTTATCAGTCCAACACTTTATCAACTCCTTGTAACTAAGTTGTTCTTGTAGCCTTGTTTGTACCTGTCTGCACAACTTACTTAGCTTTTTATTTTTAGATTGACCATGGGTAAAATGAATGAATCCAAAGCACAAAGCCTACAATGAATTATGAAATGCTAAGAGAGACCGTGTTTACATGTGGATGATGCAGGATAGTCTATAAAAATGGATGAAGAAAGTCCACTAACACAAGTAGATCTACCAGTTAATGAAAACTATGAAAAGGAAACATTAGATCCTTCTCATAGATCATGTAAAAATCGATGGTTTGAAAAGATATTTTCAAGGTAGAATATTAACATCTTCCTGCATCAAGAAATTTCGCACTGGGAATTCCCACGAACATTGTGCGCTATGGGCATTTCACTTTCCCAACTTTAATTAACAGATTTATGCAATGACATTGACAGTCCAAGAATAATCATGTATTATGAAGCATCTTCCCTATGTGTTTTTGTAAAGTGTTAGTATTCATATGATCATTAAATTGTGTATATATACATGCAGGTAGCTAAGGTTCGTGGTGATGGCATAGATAGCTTTCGTAGGCCCTCAACTGAGAGGCGGAAGCTGAAGTTCATTTTGCACAAGAGGACACTTTCATGCCCTATCACACCCCAACCCTTTTAGAAAAAGTTGAATCTGCTCCTGGGTACATCATGAGTAGGCTGTTATCACCAAAGCGCATTTAAAAGATTTTCTTAATGAGGTATATTTGTTTTACAGGGAATTTGCTAAAACCTTTTTCACAGGTCAATTTTTATCATTAATGTTATGTGGTACAGCAGTTACAAGTGGTTTACTTCAACAATATGGAGTTAATGCACCAACATGTAAGTAAAATCAACTTTTAAAATAAGCCAATGTCTCTATCTAGGTGGTGGAATTGATTTCTCTGATAATGCAAGGACATTATTATGTTTGTTTGACAGCATTCGAAAAAAAGATGCTTTCTCAATGGTGTTAGCAGATACATGTACATATGTTTTGCTTAAAGGGCAGTGAATGAGCCTAAATGAATTTTGATTATGAAAGTTAGTCTTTGCAATTATTTGTTCATATTTGTTTTCCACTTTTATATTATAGCTCAATGTTTCCTGAATTATGTGTTATTAAGTATAGTGTATGGAGGGCGTTTAGGATGTCGTTCAGGAGAAAGAACATTATCATGTATAATTAAAACACAAGGTTGGAAATATGCCTTGTTAGCTGTAATAGATGTTGAAGCTAATTATTTGGTTGTAAAAGCCTACAGCTATACATCAGTTACAAGTGTTCAAGTTAGTATTCTTTGACTGTCTTTTCCCATTACACGTATCTTCTGCCCACTCCACTCCAACCCACTATTCCCTTGTCCCATTCATTTGTCTTTTCAGCTTCTCCACTTTATACTTTTTCACTGGACTCCTGACTGTAATGTCCCAGGTTCAAATCCAAAACAAGCATCTAAAATCTGTTGATGGGCCTCTTTTGAATCTTAACTAATCAAAGTTGGAAGGTTATCTACTGTTGATATTTTTTTCTTAATTAAAATATTAAATAATCAATTTGAGCACACTTTAGCTTGGATTAAGCTCAGAAAAATTAAATATTGTCCAAAAAAATGCAAATAGGTGCTTTAGCTTTGCTCAAGGTGTGCACATAATTCTGGATGTCATTTACTGAGTGGTTGCACACAAAGCAAATCAAATATAAATAGTCATTCCATCAAAGTTCAACTTTATGACCCTAGAAATGATTTCCAACAGAAACCAGTCAGATCATAATGGAGTGGACACCATTAAAAATGTAAATTAAAAAAATTTAGATCTGTTTTTTTTATCAGATAGCCAATTACAAAAGATTTGCAACCATCAATTTGTGTTTGTGTATGAAAAGGGGTGTGTGGCATTTTATAAATTTATCTCAGAAAGTATGAATTATTTTGTATTTACTATTTAATGTTGTTATTTCAGGTTTTAGATAGTTTTAGTATTCCAACTGTTATGTTGTTATCGTATATATTTTTACGTGTAAAATATCACATCTCACATATAATTGGTGCTATAATATGTTTAACTGGAATAGGAGGTTTAATTTTGGCGGACGTGTTGGCAAAAAATCATCCTGACAGTTCTCAAGGTAAGTTCATAAAGCAACATGACAGTTGTTTTCTAATATGGAAATCACAAGTATTTATTTTGGTTCTGTCATGTTTTGTGCATGCAATATAAAAAAAATTGCAATCTAGAATTGTTTTCCTCATGTAGGTACATGTATTATGTATACACATGTATTGTAAAGTACCTAACAATCTAAAGTGTTGTAGGCCAAGGTATTTCTGTCGAGGGTTTTTTCTGATGTCTTTCTTCCCCAGCATAACCAAAGTCGAGGACTTTATCTTGTTTATAAACCGTCTATGTTTACCTGTACATAAAATGAGAATATCCCAGAATTCCTGTAAGAAAAACCTTGTGTCATGTTTTCTCATGGATAATAAAAACCTACCTTGGAAGAATAACCTGTTACAGGTTTAAAGAAAACTTTCAGAAGAATAACCCCAAATTCCCCTGTATATATCCAAAGTCGCCCCCGACTTTCAGACCACAAGTTATTCCGGGCATAGAATATACCCCAAAGATCAAATAGATTTACCGTTATAGGTTTATAATAAGATAAAATATGCAATTCAAAATACATGTACTATCAATGCCTGCCTAATGATATATTGTCCAATAAATATCTAAAAAATATGGGTGAATTACAGATCTGAGTTATTTTTCCATCAAGTAAAACAAGGTTTTATAGTCCTGAGCCTGGTTTAGGATCACCATTTGAAATATAACCTCAATTTGCATTTTACTGCTTAAGATAATAATGACCCAGTTGCATTAAGAAGACATTAAAGACCATTTTCTGTACTGTATATATTATTTTTACTTTTATTAAAAGCTAGCAATATTCCAGTTGGTGATGTATTGTGTATTTTTGGAGCCATACTTTACAGTGTTTCTAATGTAGGGGAAGAATATGTGGTCAAAAACTTTGCAAGATCAGAATTCTTAGGAATGATTGGAATTTTTGGTAGTTTTGTAAGTGGAATACAAGCGTAAGTTAAAATGATGGTAATTTATTAATAGTAGAGAAACACAAGTATGAATATAAGGACATTATAATTGGACAGACCAATCAAAAGACTGCACAGCCATGTTTTTACTATTAACATTTTAAATTGTTATATATAACAACAGAGAGCTAACCATAATCAAATCACATGAAAATGCAACACACTAGGTTCAAATGATCTCAATGATTTGAAAAGAGGTTAATGGATTAAGAATGTACATCAGGAAATAAAATTTTATACACTAATATTTATTTATATCCTTCAGTATAATTCTTGAAAGAAACAGATTTGAAGGAGTAGATTTTTTATCTGTTAAAATATGTGAGTTAAATCTTTAAAAATATATCATATTGATCTTGTGTCAATTACACCATAGTTTTTGAAATGCTTTCTACAAGTTGATGTATCTCTCAAATGTAAAGACCCTGTAAGTCTTTAATATATGACCTTCTTTATTGGCACCAATTAATTGAGCTTGGATATATGATATTATATATTTGGTAGTAGTTGTATAACATACTGTAACAGAAGAGTTTAACTATTATATCTGTTTATTTTCCAGTGTTGCCATGGATACTGTATTCAATATGTCTATTTCTGTTGTATTCTATTATGACAATAGGTATACGATACACGAGTGCAGCAGCTATAAATTTGGCTATTTTATCAGCTGATTTTTATGCTCTATTAGTAGGAGTTTTTGTCTTTAATTACAAGGTAAACTCAAATTTGTATAAAAAGACAACAGATTATTATATTCTACAACCTATATGACGACATACTCTGTCGGATCAATGTAATACCAATAATTCACCACTTAAACGTTATAATTTTTTAAAATCATGTGTCTTGGCAAATTGGATCCAACACCTTTTAATATAAGTACAGTTAGTCCAGTTTTCTCCCATAACATTACAAAGGTACTGCTGAACTTCAACCTTACTTTTAAATAATGGTAAGCTATACATGTAGTTGCATACAGCTTAAGCCGACTTCTACGCTGTTTCCTGTGCATCTTTGTAATTTGTTTAATTATCTTTTTATTTTCAGTTTCATATTTTGTACTTTTTTGCTATGGCATTTATAGTATTTGGTATCCTAGTATATTCCATCAAAGATACAGAGAACAGAGTACCAAATACTCCACAACAACTAGGCTGATATTTTACTGGATTTTCATGTTTTATTTCATTATTGTGATTTTTAATTTTAACATCAATTTTAAATATTTCTATTTTATTAATATGTAAAGGAAAGTTTATCTTTTGTAGATATTGATTTTTAATTTTGACACTTCTATGTAAATTTTACCAGATTTGGATGTAATGTATATTTATCTAAATCAATCTTATCCATTTATTTAACAATATGTATGTATAATGGTTGAGAATTATTCCTTCGATATTTATTTATTTTTTTTTATAATGTACACAAATTACAATACATATGCTGTTGGGGTTTAAGGGCTAGTTTTAAGGTCTGTCATATGAAATGCAAACATACTTAAACTCAAACAAGTAGTACTAGAACCAGAATTTACATCATATAACTGCAGTCTGTATAGCGGCTTCTTCGGTCCATGAATATAAACATACCACTATCTCTTCAGAGAAAAAGGGAATATACGATATTAAGATGAAATTATGTTCTAAATCAAAGATAGTTCTAGTATCTACTATAAACAAATAGAAGAATGTGAGCAATTAATTAAAAATTAAAATGTTTTTATATGTTGATTGTTGTATGGGATGATAATTTATCTCTTATCATAATTTTTGAGATATTACTGATGAGCTCAATTGCAGCAGTCTAAGCAAAATATTTAAAATAAAATTACTAAAGATTTCAACTTCGATTTGGTGATTGACAGGGGTCACAGTGGCTCGCTAACCTGGAGGCTCTGTATTCGATCCCTTTGTTGATCGAGAAAGTTCATCAGGATTTTTATGCATGGTTCCCCATTGTCAATGATGCAGGATAAAAGGCCTGCCAAGGAACAACGCATAGTCATTTGGATAGGACAAAAACCTGAGGTCCTGTGTACACATTGGCATGTACCTAAAGGAACTCTTGGCAGCTGGAATTTCCCGCATAGAACACTGTATGGCGTCTGCCTGTCTTCATTAGCCCAGTCGGAGCACGAGTGAGAGAGAAATGGGGTTTAATGTCCACTTAACACAAACTAGGTCATCAGGACTAACATATGGTTTAATTTTATTTCAATAATTAGCTTGTGCGTAGGGGTCACTCGCAGTGGGAGGAAACCGGAGGATCTGGAGAAAACCCACAAGGTTGGAAAGGTGACCCTACTCATTATTATTATTATTATTATTACATTTTATGAAAAGGGCGCTATATAAATCTATGGTAATAATTTATATAGCGCCCTTTTCATAAAATGTTCAAGGGCGCTTTACAATAAAATGATTATTAGTATAAATACATAAATATGTAATGTAAAATGTAAGTGTACATCGAACATAAATTAAAAAACATTAAAATAAAGATAAGCCTAGGCCTAGAAGAAGTCTAAATAAATATGATATAGATATGAAACAAAATACAAAACAATTATTTAAAAGCAATATTAAATAAATACGTCTTCAAGCGTGTTTTAAAAATAGATAATGAAGCGCTGCTTCTGATGAAATAGGGGATCTTATTCCACAACTTAGGAGAAGCCACTGAGAAAGCCTTTCTCCATATGACACGATATTGGCTCTATTTTCTACTAAAAGATATAAATCTGCTGCAGACCGTAAGTTTCTACATGGGGTATAAAATCGTAAAAGACTAGAGAGATATGATGGCGCTAGATTATGGATACATTTAAAAGTTATACTGAATTCTGAAATGGACAGGCAACCAGTGCAAATTAAAAAGAATAGAAGTAATGTGATCAGTAAAAGAGGCCCCTGTTATCATTCTAGCAGCACAATTCTGAAATGAAATGGGGTTTAACGTCCTACTGTTCTGCTCCTAACCTGGGCTAATGAAGACGGGCATACGCCATACATTGTGCTATGGAGGGAAATTTTGCCCGGGCAGAGGCGCTACGGTCTACTCTTATATCGAATTTCAAATGCCAAGGGATCTTTTACATGCATGCCAAAATGTACACGGGATCTCGGTTTTTCGTTCCATCCGAACGACTAGACAGCTGTCCTTGTCAGGCCCTCCATCCTGCATCACTGACAAGGGGAAACCACGCCTGGAAATCTGAATGAACTTTCCCGGCCAATGCAGGGATCGAACATCCGACCTTCAGGCTAGCGACCCGGGGTTTTGCCCACTTAGGCACAATTCTGAAGTTTTTGAAGTTTACTTATATATTTTAAAGGCAAACCATGCAAAAGCGAATTAAAATTATCAAGACGAAAATGAAATGACAAGGCAACTGATTAGTGTTCTAGTAGCATCTGTGGTTATATATTTCCTGATTTTACTGATATTACGAAGATTTAGATAACCTAATTTGCAAATATTATTGACACGACTTTCCAATGACATATTAGAATCAAATATGGCACCCTAACTACATGTACCGAATTGATTGAACTGCTATCAACATTGATAGATAGATTATTAAAAATAGGTAAATTAATTTTTGAAGCACTAACTATGAATTCAGTTTTTTCGTCATTGAGTTTTAAGAAGTAATTGTCTGTCATCCAGGATTAAATTTCTGAAATGCCCTTTCTCTAGCTTCAACTTTGTTGGATCAATGTCATTATTTACAGGTTTGAATGAGATATAAAGTTGGGTGTCATCCGCATATAAGTGGAATGATAGGCCGTATTTTTCTGACGATTACAACCAGTGGTTTAGTGTATAAACTAAATAGCAGGGGACCGAGGACGGAGCCTTCGGGAACACCATATACCAGGGATGTTTGTGACGATGATATGCCATTCACAGAAACACTCTGTTTTCTATCAGTGATGTAAGATTCTAATAGTTTCAATGCATTGCCGGTTATGCCAAATTCCAGATCTAATCGTCTGAGTAAAATATTATGGTTTACAGTATCGAATGCAGCTGACATGTCGAGAAGGATCAGAAGAACACATTCAAGATTGTCTAGGCACACGTACAAGTGCTGTTTCAGTGCTGTGAAACTGTCGGTACGCACTTTGAAATTCCTTCATTAAGTTATTTTCGCCGACATACGATGTTAACTGTGCAGCAATAACCCGCTCCAATGTTTTCGACAAGAAGCTGGCCGATAGGCCTAGTTTTTGTCGACATTCCTGTTCAGATTCGGCTTTTTAATTAATGGAAAAACAACTGCTGCTTTAAATATATTTGGAAATGGATTTTCGTCAATAGCAGAATTTATAATATTAGTTATAACTGGTAAAATGTCGTCCAAACATGCCTTAAGAAATGTAGTTGGTACAGGATCCAGCAAACAGGATTTAGACACTGACTTTAATATAATTTTTGACACTTCTTCATTTGAATACTGACGAAAGCTGTTAAATAATGATTTTGAGGAACGAGGGATTATTACAGTATTGCTTTGTCTTCCTACATGCTGGTGAATCTTCTGAATTTTATCACTGAAATAGTGAGAAAATCTTTCGGATAACACTGTTCTACTGAATCAGTATTCGGAAGTGTAGTTTTACCATGAGAAGGCTTCAACAGAGAGTTTGCGATTTTGAAAATGTCTCGTTGTTTATTATGACTAGAATCGATTTTGTCAGAATAGAATTTTTTCTTAGCATCTTGAATCATATGGTTTAATTTGACTTTAAGGCTTTTGAACATATTCTTATGGACAGTTAGAATTGATTCACGCCATACATGCTCAGCTTTATTACGGAGACGTTTGATATATAAAATATCACTGGTCGAATGTTAAAGGTTTTCGTTTTTTCAGGAGCTAGTTCATTTAATATATTGGTTAAGATGTAATTGTATTCTTCAGCTTTTTTATCAACAGAATCGAGAAACTGAATATCAGAAAAGTCACCATTAGAGAGCGCACTGAGGAAAACATCTTTATTTAGATCCCTAAGTTTTCTATAAGTGACCGTTTTGGAGAGATAAGCAGGTTTAGAGATCTGCAAGTTGAATATAATAGGGAAATGGTCTGATATTAATTTATCCTCAACATGGAGGTTTCGAAGGAGAGAACTGCCCTCTCTTGTTATAACGAGGTCCAGTGTATGGCCATGGCTATGAGTGGAACAATTAACATGCTGCGGTAAGTGAGAATGCGTTAATTAGATCCTTAAATCGTGATGCAGAGACATTAGATACTGTGTCCAAATGAAAGTTAAAGTCTCCTAGAATAAGAAGCTCGCAATTTGCGGACACAGTTCCATTGATTGATTCCATGTACTCATAGAATTCACTGAAAAATACATTATCGGATTTAGAATGCAGCGTACAGACTTCTTGGTGATGGTCAAGTTAACATCAAGATATTCAAAGCTCTCAAATTTCTTGAGATTTTGTAAGGAAACAGGTATTGATGACTTATAAATAAGAGCTACACCTCCACCCTTCTTTCGTCTGGAGACGCATTTTATGGAATAACATTGTGGTACAAGTTCACATAGTGCACTGGAGTCGGTAGTTTCTAGCTCTGATAGCCAAGTTTCAGTAATAGCGACAATGTAAATTTTGTAATCACTCGCCTTATTTCTGACCGATCTGGCGTTAATGAGGCAAATGTGAGTATCAGATGAAATAGATGTGCAAATATCAGCCTTCTTTATCCGAATTAAGTTATTAAAATTAGGTTTGTCATTTCTTGTCATTACTGGGTATTTAGGCCTAGTAATTCTAGTGGGAATTCTATGATAGATTGGAATTTTCAGCTTACCTAAATTTCGTTTCTTCTTATATGGCCGAGTTCTTAAATTTGTGCGTTACCCTTTCAATGATGTCCGCCAAGTCGGTCAGAAGACGGAGACGTATTTTTTAACAGCGTGTTGTGTCGCTCATACTGACTCTAGCGAGGTAAGCAAGGTCTTATTTTCTCACTAAGATGTTCATTTATATTGGTCAGGCGTTCACAGGGACTGACACGCAACCGTTTAGCAGTAAAAGGTTGCCCAGTAAAATTGACTGGGAAACCAAATCTGGTCGACAAGGATTCAATAGAAGGGTCCCTGAACGTAGAGGTCGAGTGTAATGAGACCTACGTTCAGAGCTGAACTAGCAAGGGACCTAACACAGACCCTTGAGGAACTCCAATAGTTAGTGATTTAGGTTTGGAAACTGATCTGTTGCATTGGATTTTCTGTGATCTGTTATGAAGGTACGATGATTTGATCCATTGCAATGCAGCACCACCTACCCCAGTAACGTTTCCAAGCGCTTGAACAAGATCTCGTGATCTAAGGTGTCAAAGGCGGCACTCAGGTCCAAGTGAGCAGCCTGGTTTCTGTCTAGTGCCAAGTCAATATCATTTTTAATCTTGATCAATGCCGTCTATGTACTGTGTCCGGCCTTGTAAGCTGATTGTAGTGGATCATGTAGACCATAATGCTTGTATTAAATGGGAGCTAATTTGATAGGCAATTACTTTTTCAATAACTTTACCAATAAAAGGGAGGTAAGAAATCGGCCTATAATTTTTAAATAACTCCGGATTTAGATTAGCTTTTTTCAGGAGTGGGGATACTAGTGCACACTTTAGAACATCAGGGACAATGCTGGAGGAAATTGAGGTGTTCACAATTTTAATGACTAATGGAAAGAGCGATTCAAGAATTTTACTTTGTTTCAGCAGCCAAGTTGGTATGACGTCAAGATTACAGGTAGAAGAATTGCCCTTTAGTATGATATCTTTTATATGATCACATGATGCTGATTCAAACTGATTCAGGAATCCAGCCGGAATATTAGAAGGGCCGTCTAAATTAGCAGACGTCAAATCTTGCGAAATTCAAAATATTTTCAGCTAAAAGAAATATCAACGCTGCTGCACAAGGTTAAGAAAATAGTGTGGATAAAAGTTACAATGTCTTGATCCTATAGATTACACATAAAATTTCAAAACAAAACAGAGCTGGTATGGAGCTGCCATCCACGCTCACACACTCTAAACACGTACAACTGGGGAATCGAAACCACACCAGTTGACTCAATGACAGACCTTATGATACAATGCACACACGCTAACCATTCCACCATCCAACCCCCCTCGGAGGAAGGTAGGATGTTAAACCCCATTTGGTGATTGACAAAAACAACCATTCCAAAAATACATCTTTTTTTCAAATAGACCTACTGTATTAATTTTACCAATATCAGTAGATGGTTCTGTTCTGGACACAATTTCCAACATAAAAGTGCTTGAGAAGTCTTGGATATATCACCAGAAGAAAAATTAAGCTGTTACTTGATGTATAATGTATTTAATTGAATCCATGTGAAAATTATCAAAAACTGACATAAAATATTGCCCTACTGTTCCAAGCAGCTCGCTGTAGATATTTCTTTGCAAACCAAGGTATGCTAAAACTTTTAAACAAGATAAATAGACACTAGGAGTATTTCTTGGCATTTAATTTGCACATATTATGAAAATCTACTAATTTCAAACTATACCCTGTGATGTCTGTAACTGCTCTTTACTTTATCCAGTAAATGATCATGTTGACCTTAGCTGAGAGATAAAGATGTTTCAGAACTGGGAAACATTTGTTTGACAAAACAGGAAGTATTTTGTGAGGATTTCCTTTTTATTGTACATCTAAATGCAGCCATTATAGCTATCAGGTCATTTACACAAGTTTAAATATTACTATATACAAACAACACTTTTGCCCATGCTGTAATGCTTTATCTCTTGCAAATATACCCCAATAATGTCAAATCTAGTGATTAAAAGGATATGAATTCTTTGTTATCTTATTTCAGAGCCAATGAAATATATTTACAGTTAAACTAAGTTATGTGGTTGGAATCAATTTAATGACTTGAAAGTAGGGTATGGTATGCAATTCCAATTTAAAGAAGAAATAAAACCTCCAAATTCAATTTCTGTGAAATTTCAATTTTAACGCATCACAAAACCTGCACTTGATTTACAGAGTACCTACACAAAATATTATCAATTTTATTTGACATTTTCTGTCATAAAATTCAATATATACAATTTCCTGTGTTGTATTGTTTTACATAAAGAGACCACACTGATTCGCTACATCAGTCTCTGTACTATATGAGAATATAAGATAGGTTGCCTGGCAACGAAACATACGCCCACAGCAGCTAAATAGCCGGGCAGTCAACAAGAATTTGTTTGGATTTTATAAAGTTCTGGCCCATGCTAACGTTTAGTATACGAAACTTTTAATATCATGGATTTAGCTGTTCAAGTCATAAAAATTCATTGAAAATCAATATACTTGTTCGTCTCAAGATCTTAAACTCTGTGTATCAATCTGAAGTCAATCAGATGATAACTTTAGCCTCTTGAGCGTCACGAGACTTTTCAAAGGGATCAAGGGCCAAATCGTTGAAATTCAATAGGATTCTTCGTCTCAAGATCTCAAACACTGTGTATAAAATTAAAGTCAATCGGATATTAACTTTAGTCTCTAGAGCATCCACAAGATGTTTTGAAGTGATCAAGGGCCATAACTCTGGCAATAATTATCGATAATCACCGAAATTGAATAGACTTCTTTGTCTCATGACCTTAAACACTGTGTATAAATTTAAAGTCAATCGGATATTAACTTTAGCCTCTAGAGCATCCACAAGATTTTTTGAAGTGATCAAGGGCCATAACTCTGGCAGTAATTATCAGAAATCGCTGAAAATCAATAGGATTTTTCATCTCATGGCCTTAAACACTGTATATAAATTTAAAGTCAATCGGATATTAACTTTAGCATCTAGAGCGTCCACAAGCAATTGTGGACGCCGGACCGACGGGGGTGACGACAATATACGACCACATTTCAATGTGGGCGTATAATAAACATGATCTGTGAACATTCAAAAAATACTAAATTAAAGTGGTCTTTTAATTCAAGCCACCCTGAGTCTTAAAAATTTGAATTAATGATTTACACTGAATAATGTTCTATTTCTTGACAGAATACAAGCTAAAATACAGTTTTTGTTAACGATAACACAAAACACTGTTAAAAAGCTTCTTTTTCATCACATTAATCAGATGTTGACATATTTCTTGCTTTCATCGACTTTAAGGCCTTTTCTCGTAATTTTCTCTCTAAATCATCCATATTGTCTGCTTCATCATCAGATTCCTGAAAGTGAAAGCATAGAAATTTTACAGTATTTAAAGGCAACACTTATTGGTTCAAGATCATTTCTTATGATATACATGTATAAATGAGAGAGAGAGAGAAATGGGGTTTAACCTCCACTCAACACAAACTAGGTCAGTTCTGGACTAACATATGGTTTAATTTTATTTCAATAATTTGCTTGCGCATAGGGGTCTATTAGCAGTGGGAGGAAACCGGAGGACCCGTAGAAAACCCACGAGATTGGACAGGCGATCCTACTCCTTGTCACATAAAACTGGGGATTCGAAACCACACCAGTTGACTCAATGACAGGCCTTATGATACAGGGCGCACGTGCTAATCATTCGGCCATCCAACCCCCTAAATGAGAGGAACACCTAACCATGTATATTACAAAACAACATTGTCATCTACATATAACTTGCAATCTAAGTATATTAGGTCCTCATTTATCAATTTATAGATATATCTTACCAACAATCTACAGCAAAGACTTCTGACTATTTATAGCAGGAAATATTTAATGAATTTATAAATGTTTCTACCATCAATTGTAGAGTTAGCTCCCTGTGAACATGATTTGCGTTTGACAAATGACAGATGAGTGTCAAATAATAGTGGACAAGTAAATTTTATGTTTGTCCATAAATAATGTTTTAGAACGTTAATTAAAGTCATTCAATGTAAAGGGGTATGTTACACCACTCTCAATTAGAATCAAAGTTGTGTTCCAGAGTCTTGACCAAACTGCTTATCACTTTGCTTAACCAAGCAGAACAATAAGTCTGAACATTCTAGCTCAATTAGAAGAAGAGTTATTGTGTACCAAAAAGTGTGACAGGTGCACAAACCTTTTTTAAATAGTCCCCAGCTTTCTTTGAGAAGTGAGGGACAAATAAGCTCACAAGGGGATCACATTTACTGAGGTAAGCCTTTGGAGTCATACCTAATGTTCAAAACTACAAATTACAGATTTTATATTAAACAATATTCACACCTTATTTTTTATAAATTGATATCTATTACCTCTTCATCATCCTGTACATCTTTCTTGCTCTTATGTTTCTTGTGTTTCTTATGTTTTTTATGTTTCTTTTCCTTCTTTTTCTTCTTCTTTTTGACATTTTCATCATCTGAACCCTGGAGAGAAAAATTCTTATATATATGAATGTCAATGATTTAAAATGTGTGAGAGAGAGAAATGGGGTTTAATGTCCACTCGACACACAAACTAGGTCATTTTGGGAATAACTAACAATAACATAGGGCAAGTGTGGGATTGAAACCATGACACTTTACTCAATGACAAATCCAATAATCTAAAGCTCATGTGTTAGACCAAAAGAACAAATTTCACGCTTACTAAGTTATACACCAGGGTTTGACTATTTAATGCTGCTTTTCATGTTCACTTACCATACCCCTATTATAAAAACACACATAATTAGTAATCATAATGATATGTCTATGTCTGTACAGTATACTATTACTAAACTATGGATCTAGTGTACATAGACGTCAATGATAAGTATGTATAAAACCTAGAATTACGTACCAGTACTTTCAAAAGGGTTTTGTAGATGAATGTTATCATGGAGACAAATATTATGGCAGAATATTTTCATATTAGGGATATCAATGAAAATTAAGTTAAAGATGGATTTCCACTAAAGTATTAATAGGGTAGTTATTTCTAATACAAGTATGGCAAATTTGTATATATATATATATATATCTACTTAAAATCAATTTTATGGCTTGAAGGTAGTTTGAAAAATTAGAATATTTTTTTTAGTACAATTATATCATATCACACAGTTTTGTGCACGGGAAGACATCTTTAAATGCAGGGGTTTTATATATTTTTTTTTACCTCTGATCTACTGCCAGGTTCATTCTTTCTTTTCTTCTTGGGTGTACCATTAGCTTTGGGACTAGCACTTCTCTCTCGTCTTTTAATATCTAATTTATCTTTTCTAGTTTTCAACTGTTTAGAAGATACATCTTCATCAGATGTGTACTGTTCTTTAGTTTTACTTTTAATTGGCTCAGGACTTGACGAGTCTCTAGTTTTCTTAATTTTCCGAACAGGAGGGGTTGCTGAGCGGGACATTTTTCTAGGTCGTCTATTATCAGGCGATGATTGAGGCGAGAGTTGTCTTTTACTGCCGTGTTTTTTGTCCTGACTCTGTGGACGAACTTTTTGCACATCTCTTTTTGTCTCTCTTCTTGGAGATTCATCTTCTGACGAACTATCTCTTGTCTTTTGTTTTTGTGTAACAGTAATCTGACGTGTTGTACGTACTGGACTTGTGGAAGGACTACGTTTACTTGTCTTTTTGCGGGACGGCGGAGATCGTTCAACTGATTGATCATCTCTCGTCTTGTTAGTTTTTCTTCCTTCTCTTCGTTTAGGAGGTGATTGTTGTCTTTCTGGTGATTGGGAACCAGATGAACTAGAGTCATGTCTTTTCTTATCTTTAGAGAAGGATTGTTGCTTACGTGGAAGTGGGGATGCTGCTTGTTTAGGAGGAGGAGATGTAGAAGATGAATAACGACTATCATTTACTTTTTTATGCTTTTCTACAGAATCAACACGTTGAACTACTGGAGAAGTAGAAGAGGAATCTCTTCTCTTCTTTGGAGGTGAAACAGAAGAGGAAGGTCTACGTTGTCTAACTGGTTGAGGAGATGGGCATTGGCGTCTCTTTGGTGCATAAGGTGATCTATCCATATACGGTCTCTTGGTATGAATTGGGTTTCTATAATACAAAAACAAGAATTTGTAGTTGAAACAGAATTACGGCTCATAAAAATATTACAATTAGATTAAACTATTGGCTATTTTCAAAGCTATTTTTTTCCTAAACGTTGTGTTGTCTAGCAACTGTACAATAATCATTTTAATCTTGATGATAAAACATGTACCTTCTAGGAGGGGAATCTCTATTATATCTAGGTGATGGACTACGCCTTCTAGGTGATGGTCTGAAAAATGAATGTCATTTTCTTTACATAAAATTGGGTCTGCAACGATATGCCAGGCCACGATACCATGCACATCGCGATTCATAGTCTATGATATGATTAATATCGCGATATAGGAAATAAATTTTAAAAATTCTGTTACTTTTATGATTTACTTTAAATGTGGTGTTTTCTCGGTCAACTGACCAGATTTCATTGCTGTCATGCTTAATGGGAAATACCAAAAACTCCCATACTTTACTTGTGACTTATTTACTTGGTATGGGGGATTTCGATCTCAATATTGCTTTTGTCGATTGTGCAACTTGAATTTGGTGAATTCATTATGAAACTAGCGGCTGCCAGGCAGGATACACCCACATTTTGCAAGAGATGGATAGAGAACAAGCTAACCAAAAAGCGATTTTTGGTACAATCAAGGGCCATAATTCAGGAAGTTACGATCCAATATCGACAGGAACCAAGATCTTTGGGTTATAAAGATATATTTCAAGTTTCATCAAAATCGGATCAAATTGTGACGTTTAGAGGGTCCACAACCTTGATAAAACATATATTTACACTATTTGCGTAAGAGGGGCGGTCATTTTGTATGGCAATTTTGGTCCGATTTTCACTAAATTCGACCTCAGCCAATATTAGGGTGTAATGATGATATATTCAAATGTTTTTTAAATCGGATAAAAATTGTTACCTCTAGAGGGTCGTGATTTTTAGTACAATCAAGGGCCATAATTCAGGAAGTTACGATCCGATATGCGCAAATATCGAAAGTAACCAAGATGTTTGGGTTATAAACATGTATTTCAAGTTTCATCAAAATCGGATCAATTCGAACTCAACCATCATTACAGTGTAATGGTGATATATTCAAACGTTTTTTTTAAATCAGATAAAGATAGGTTGCCAAGCAACGAAACATACGCCCACAGCAGCTAAATCGTCTGGGCAGTCAACAAAGGTTGTCGCATATTTTCAATTTTCGGTAATGAAACATTTATAATACACTAAAATCTGATTATAAATTTAAAGTCAATCGGATATTAACTTTGGCCTCTAGAGCGTCCACAAGATTTTTCAAAGTGATCAAGGGCCATAACTCTGGCAGTAATTATCGGAAATCGCTGAAAATCAATAGGCTTCTTCGTCACATGACCTTAAACACTGTGTATGAATTTAAAGCTAAACTGATATTAACTTTAGCCGGACGGACAGACGGGGGCGACGACAATATACGACCACATTTAAATGTGGGCATATAGAAATTGTTACCTCTAGAGGGACGTGATTTTTAGTACAATTAAGGGGCATAATTCAGGAAGTTACGATCCGATATGCGCAAATATTGAAAGTAACCAAGATCTTTGGGTTATAAACATGTATTTCAAGTTTTATCAAAATCAGATGAAAATTGTGACCTCTAAAACGTGATTTTTTGTACAATCAGGGGCCATAATCCATGTAGTCTGATATATGCCAATATCGAAAGGAACCGAGGTCTTTGGGAGATAGACCTACCTATATCTTGAGTTGCGTCAAAATCGAATAAAAATTGTTACCTGTAGAGTGTCCACAAACAAATTGTGGACGGACGGACGGGGGCGACAACAGTATACGTCCACATGAAAATTTGGGGGTATAAAAATCTTAAGTGAATCTAATTTATGGAAATATATAAAAAGTTGATGTCACTCTCTGGTTTTCAATTTTAAATAAAACTAGCATCTTTTTGCACAGCATTACTTCAGTCCATAATGAGGATGTCGACTCAAACCTTAATCCAAAATTAAATAGACACTCTTTAATTACTTGTACATTAATGTTAATATGAAGCAATGAGAAATCAAATTCTCATCATAATGCATCCCTGACCAAAACATGCTTATTATATATAGTCAAAGTATTGATAATGCAACTATACACAAGTTTAATCACTCTCTCATTCAATTAGATAGAATCCGAAATTTTCTATTTCAAGGCATCAACAAATCAAATTTCTTTTCTCGGCTCAGCTCGAAAAATGCTCATCATTGGACTCACTTAATTCAAATCACCCAATGAACATCTACATCAAGAATCAACTTCCAACCTAAATAGAAGTAGAGTTATTGTCGTGATCAATGAAACTGCTGACTGCTTAGCCTTATTGTGTTCCAAAAGGTGTGACAGATAAAATAACAGACAGTTGCTTAACTCTGCTCAGTCTGAGGAGAAAAACTTCTACACCAAGTTTGAACATTTAAAAGCAGAGTTATTGTGTGATGGACAGACAGACAACAGACTGGTAGAGAACTCAAATAGTGGACATGTTTAACTCTTCATGAATCTAATTTAACCTCTACACATAATTATAAAATTTCTTACCTTCTGTCATTTCGTCTTTGATAATTGTTATAATGCTGATAATTACCATAATTATTATATGGTTGTCTACCTTGATTGTACCTGAAATCAGTTATATAAAAGTTACTGGAATGAATCAAGACTCAAAGCCATCATGATAAATTATCATTAAAAACATTTCTGCCATATTTTTAAAATTGACACACTATAAAATCCCCAGATGAATCTATTGTCAATATCCAGAGATAAAGAGACACATTCTATATTTAAATCCAGACATATTTAAATGAATCATAAATTTATGCATTTCTATCTGGTTATTATTAAACCTAGCACTCTCCCCTATCATTTAAGAAAAACTAAAAACAGATCTATATGTGTTTAATAAAATGGAACACTAGTGTGATCATTAATGAAAACCAACCTAACTAATAAATGTAATGGAAAGAGGCATGCCGACAATAATGTAATTATATGTAGTTACAAGATATTGTAAGAAATAATACCTAGGGTTATATCTATAACCACCCGGTGACATACGTCTGTTATCATATCTTTGTGGTGATCTACGTTGATCTGATCGTCTAGGTGAATAGGATCGCTTTCTCCTTTCTCTCTGGGGAGCTATAAATAATTTTATTTGTTAAAAATTTGTATCTATAAAACTGAGAGAAAAACAATTTTTTTTCTAACACACTGCATAATTAATGAGAAATTCAATGCTCACAGAACAAGCTACATGAAGTTTGAACAATCTACTTCAATTAGACACAGAGGTATTGTATCCACTAACGCGTGACAGACAAAAATATAAGCACCATGTTCTGTACTGTTTTATGAGGAAGCACGTGACATAATAACTTCTAATTCTACCAAAAACCTAGGATGTTAAGTATTCATTAACATTTTATTCTCAAGTTAAAGAATTTGCTCATATATCCTCTTTTAGAGTAAAATTGGGGATCATATTTACATATTTTTTAGTGCTAGCCTATTCAAAATACTACATTTAATTCTATTTGTAGACTTTTTAAAATTGTATACAAGCTTTGCACCTCTTTCATCATCTGATGAACTTGAAGATCTTTCAGCCTCGGCAGTATCACTATGTGTTCTATAGTTCCTTCTCTTCTGGATACCTTTCTTTTCTGGTGAAGAATCACTATCACTTGACCCAGCTTTTTTCTACAATAATACAATGTAGTGTGTTACTAATTTTCTTTTTTTCAATATTGGGAGGGGGGGGGGGGGATGCATACTGTACTGGGACACTTCTCAAGTGGCATATTTATAGTATCTGAACAATTCTGTGAAAGCTTACCTATTTTAATGGGACAATTTGGAGGCAACCTGCTTATTGTTCTGAGCTTGGAGAGAAATGGGTTTTTAACATCGACACTCGACATAAGCTATGTCATTTCGGGACAAACATATGGTTCAATTTTATTTCAATAGTTTGCTTGTGCGTAGGGATCATTAGCTGTGGGAGGGAACCTGAAAAAGCCCATTAGGTTAGACAGCCGACTTGAAACGACACATTTGACTCAATGACATTTGGCCACCAAACTGCCTTTACTGAGATTGGGATTGTTCATGGGTTGGTAGCAGTGATGGGATTTGGCCTGCATATTCCCGACATGTCCGATGCTATTTTCCAAACGTCCTAAATTGTCCGACCAGGAATATGTCAGATTTATGATCATATTTTGAATGGGGTTTATGTTTTTAAATAAAGAAATAAGTACGCTAAGAAATGTTGACGAATATGTCGATTGGAATAGTGTAAGTAGTAAATTGTTTTAGACGATAGCACGTGCTAGAGTCGAATGTGATTATTTAGCAGTTGGTGCCACTCGCTCGTTGTGGTAGAGCGACGTTTACTGCCAAATAAATTTCAGTATTTCATTTTTTTTACCTTTCGTAAGTATAAGACGAATGCCAGATTTCTGCTGAAAAATGTATCGACTTATGACCCGAAAAATATAGTAATTTTGGAGGAATTTGAAACAGGTACGGATCGATGGAGTCGGCACGCTATCATTGTATCGTATTATGACATCACATAATTTTGTAGGAATATTATTGACAAATTTGAATACCGTATGGGAATTAAATATGAATAATAACGAGGTGCACCTATTCTTTTATTACGTACGAATTTGAATATTTTGTTTACATGTGATTTTTGTGTGTGGTCTAAAACTGCCTGCTTAAATAACGATAATAGTTATGTCCCTTTATTTTCAGTAAAAATGTCCGACAAGAAAGATTTTGAAATCCCATCACTGGTTGGTAGTGAAAGCATGCTTTAAAGGATATGAAAATAGCTACTCATAACAATAGTTAGGAATAATTTGGATTGAATTAATAATTAATACTTTTAGTGTTTTCTTCTTGTTTCTTGGACTAGCACTACCAGAATCGGAAGCTGAACTAGATCTTGAACTTGAACTACTAGATCTGTAAGTAAATAGACGAGTAATATATATTATTAACATGAGCTGACATAACTATAAAGGGAGCTTAATAAAATCATAAGATTTTTTTTTTAACATGTCTTCTATTTAAAAATACAAATCAAAACATCTTAATTCAGATCTTAATTTTAAGTGCAGTCAGAGACAATGTCAAATAATTTTGTTAATATCTATACAAAAATGGAAAGAGTCCAATTTTTTTTTTACCTCTTTCTAGTCGGTTTTATTTGTTCAGGACTTCTCCGAGGTGATCTGACATGTCTTCTAGGGGGAGATCTATAACTTCTACGATCAGACATATGTCTTCTTGGTGATCCTCCTCTTCTTCTAGGTGATGGAGACCGACGTCTAGGAGATCTACGTCTGGGTGAAGATCGTCTTTTAGGGGAATATCTATGTGGAGAACGCCTTTTTCTTGGTGAATGTGATCTATAATTTAAAACAGAAAGTAATCTAATACATACTTATTTACATGTTTTTAAAATACAAACACTAGGGCTGTGTCGATATATCGATACACCGATATGTATCGATACGTTTCAGCGATATTTATATCGATACGTAATATGGCCGTATCGATACGTAATATGGCCGTATCGCCGTATCGTTGAAAAAATTATTCAGTTAAGAAAGACCATGAATTGAAACCTACGTGACGAAATAAGACGATCTCGGCATGGTTTGCCAATCGAGCGTCTTCCACGCCGCGTATGAATTCCAGGTACCGGTAGATATAATAATAACTGGATCATACATTGATGGATTCATTGACCAATTGTTAGGTAAATTTAAATCTTCATTGAATATTATCCCCTGATAGAACACCGAATACACCGAGAAACAATCATTTAATAATATATTTTCCTGATGGCATCATGACTCGTGACATATTGGTTGCGAATTAGGTCAATTCTGGAATATTACTGACGTGAACTTCAAGTTGGTAAGTGAATTAAATATGGAAAATTTTCAAAAGGTGTACCTCTGTCGTTATTTTTGTGGTAATCACATACATACGGCATTCTCCATAAATTACCAAGAATTATTTTTGTTGAAGTCTAGTTATATCAAAGGGAATAGACTCTTATAATTAACCCATTTCCTACGGGATCTCAATTGACCCAACATTATTCTGGCCATTTGTTTCAAAATAGATTAAGAACCCTGATGCTTGATTACTCATCTCAAATGTCTTGAAACAGAATGTAGTTTGAGATTATTTTGGGCATAATTAGTGATGTCACCATATCGCGATACGTATCGCGTATCGGTTTGCCGTATCGTCAATACGTATTGTATCGAAATTGAACTGTATCGACACAACCCGAACAAACACCATTTTCAAAATTTCTTCTGAGATACTACTGCTTAGAAATCGTGAAGAACAGGTACCTGGATCTCGACCGCCTACGTTTTCTGTCTGTGGATCTGGAACGACTGCGGCGTTTTTTCTCTCTTGATCTCGATCGAGATCTCGACTTTGAGGCAGAATGAGACCGAGATCTAGATTTCTTTTCTTTTTTACTTGTCTTTTTGTCACCGACGGTACCACTTTCATCACCATTCTTTTCATTATCTTGTTCTTTATCACTGAAATTTACAATACTGTCAAATTGTGCTGTGGATGACAAAACAGTACAAATGGATTCTTTAGAACCATTGCTTCTGTACAGTTATAAGAAACAGACAGTACTGACAAATTGATAATTATCCAGGATGGAAAAGCATTTCACGAATCAGTTGAATGGATTTCATATTTGTATGGGTTTAAGATTGAATCTGTATACTTCTGTACTTTATGATATTACCTAGGCTATTTCACATTCACTAATTGCTTTATAATGAAACTTACTCTGTAATTTCTTTTATTTTACTATCATCTCCATTTTTTTCTACTGTTTTATCAGGAGATTTAGATTTATCTTTACCACTTGGTGTTACTGATCTTTTCTTTTTTCCACCAGGAGATTTTGACCTTGAACGAGTTTTTCTAGAAAAATCAAAACAGAATAATCAAAAGCATGTTTTATGACAGGGTGAGCATACAAAACAGACATGCGTCGGTAAAGCATCAAAAGGGTGTATCACGGAAAATTAGTCAAATACACTTTCTTTGCATTTTTAAAATCTCCCAATTAATATGCACATTTCTGTCTAAGCTGTGTACCTCTACGCAAATTAGAACTGTTCTGGGTATCATGTGTTCAAATCAAATGTTGTATCTTGATTTGTGGAAATTTTGAAATGCAAAAGGTTCTATTTCTTAATCTTTAGAAATTCTTAGATGCACCCTTTTGACACTTCACAAACACATGGCATATTTGTTAACATTTGTTTTTTTATACTGAAAAATGAGACAATTTGTCGAGTATTTCTAATCTAATATGCAGTACCTGCTTGATGGTGAACTGTCTTTTCTATCACTTTCTCTTCTTCCACGACTTAACTCCTCCTTGATCTGTTCTTCATGTTTTTTCAGATTAGCTTGAATCCGTTCATGTTCTGCCTGTAACATCAAACAGAATCATTTAAAGTGCACTCCTTTGATTTTTATTGAAGATCCTTCTGTGCAAAGAAACATGAATTCATTGGAAATTAGATTTACTACTTCATTGTATGTAAACATTGATTAAAAGTAAGGACAGAATATTCAACTTGGTCATTACACATTTTCAATTTTATAATTGAATGAAGACTTCTGAATTTGATTTTTATAGAATGACAGTATTGGAACACAGAATGATTATATCAAATTTTTTCAATCTGATATTAAAATTTTGATCAAGTTAGAATTAACAAAAGGTTAAAAAATATTTGTTTCCTGATCACAATATTTCCTGTCAGTGTTATAAGATCAATTATACACGATACTTTGGTCATTTAGAGACCTAAGTATGGTATTTTTCATATCAATACAAGGGGGAGAATTTTGCCTTTTAGTGGTATTTCTGCTTACTCTTCATCAAATTTTAAGTGATATGGGTTCTTTAACGGGTACACAGGTCAACCTTTCCTTGTCAGTCCTGAAAGTACTACATTTGACAAGTGAGGTTCTACTCGGTCTCCCACTATGAATAAATGAATACTTTACAAAGAAAATATAATAACTCACCTGTCTTTTCTTTATTTCTTCCTTTTTCTGTTCTAAAAACTTGGATGGAATACCAGCAATATTCTCTTGGGCACTATTCAGTAGCTCCCACAATTCTTGTAGAAAGATTCTTGCATTTTTTGGGTTGAGGAAACCAGTCAAATTGATCTGCATATCTTTAGGATCAGGAAACTGTGAATATACGAGGGGAAGGAATCCTGCATTAATATCATTAAATCTCACTGCATTTGTTCACATTTATATCCTTGCAATTCTCTAAACTAACTATTAATTTATTATGTTTAAATAATAAATAAATGTTATCATAATATCAAGAACATTCAAATACAGTGAAATGCCTACAAAATTGTCGCTTACATGTAAGTTTGGGAGATAACAGAATCAGTCAGTTAAAAATGCACGTTGGAAAGATAAATCTTAACTATCAACACAGAATGAACATTACATTCAAGATCCAATAAATCAAAAATATCAAAATATCAATATGTTTATGTTGCTTACACCCTGAAGCCCCATTCCACGAAAATTCATGAACAAAATGCAATTTTAAAAAGTATAATTTATTGACATGTATTTAATATATGCAGACAATTCACTGTATAGAGAATTACCTCATTGTTTCACTGAACCATAAATAATGACCAAAGTTACAATAAAAATAGAAGTTATAACAAGAATTAAAGAAATTCTGTAACTGCTTTATTCTACTTTGGGGGTTGTGGGTGAATTGTTTCAATAAAGAAATATGTTGACAACTTAACTCTTTCAGGTAACAGATTGCCCTATATATGTTATAGTAAGTTCAAATAGTTCCTTAATAAAATTGAGGTGTAATTACAATGTCTGTACATGCATGATAAACATCAACACAACAATACTGATTATACTGCTTGTAAGGGCAATACTTTAGTTTTACCAGATACCCGTTGTTTTATAGCATAGAGACAAACAGTTGTCTAGATTCCGAGGATGGTGTCAGTATATTGTAGTGCGCCTGTTAACTCATTCTTTAATAAAGTTTCTGTAAAAAAAGTCTTGGCATGAGACTAGTAGTAGTATAATAATTATACATGGGCAATACTTAAAACAACAGAACACATGTAATTTTAATTTATTTACATATTTATTTATAGGATTTTAAGATTGTGTTGTTAGAATATGGTCACAGAAGTCAAGTGAAAATCTGCTTAAAATCGAAATGCAGTATTCCAATAAGATCTGATCTGCTTAGGTTTCCTACCAAATTAAGAGTATTTACCTCATAACTATAGAGATGTTAATACCAACCGTCCAGTTAAATACATCCGTTCGGCTTAACCGATGTTGTAAAGGCAATACCCTCTAAGAAAAAAGCTAATGCTCCTATGGAATAAGCAAATCTTGAAAGTGTGAGCTCCTTGCCATGTCTGTGAGATTTTCATTCTTGGAGGTGAATTTATAATGATCGTCTCTAATTGTGAGAGGAAACAGTCAAATATAAGTACATGTTATACACATTTATACAGTTAAGAAAACCTTAAACACTACCTTATATACACCTGTAGTTACCTTTTGTTTTAAAATACATTGATTACGGTTTTTCCTAATGGGATACGTTTGTGTGAAAGAAATCTTAGCCCTTAACATGTGTAAAATTTCTATAAACTTTATAATATCTGTTGTTTGTAGCTATTTTTAAATTTTGTTATGGTAAGGTACCTATAGATCACTGATAATTATTAGAACCAACTGAACATTATTGTATGGATTTCATTTTAGAAAATAAAACTCTTAAAATGGCAATTATTATTGTCAAGAGTTATGTTTAGTTTTTGATGAAAATTAAATGAAGATTCTTCACATCTTCATCATAACAGAAGTATTATACCTAATACAACAAATGATGAGCCTCTTGGGTAAAATCTTACCGGGAGAAAACAAAAGCTTCAACTTACTCTGTATCTGACATATAAGTTGATATAAAAAACCTTTAAATAATGATACATCAGTTGTTGATTGATAAACTTACCCTTTCCTCTAATTGATTATAAACAAACTCAACAACAACATCGTCTTCTATTCCTAATAACTCAGTTATTCTTTGTGCAATCCATGGTTTTAACGTATCAACATTCACTTTGGTCATATCCACCTGAAATAACCATTTAAAAGTAAATTCATGAATGTTAACCAGTCCTTTCAATGTGGAAGATTCCTGGGTAATTATAGTACAGGCAAGAAACATAGAATGGATCTCATTACACTGATAATGTTGATAGAAGTCTGTAGTTAGAAATACATCCTAGATAAAAAATTTATTAGAAATAAAAGTAACCGAATTTGAAAATTTACACTGTCATACAGCTTAATCAAGTTTCCTGATTGGGAACTATTTTCCATAAATGATGCTTATTCTTGATTTATAAGAGGGAAATAATCAACAGACAAGAACAATTTTCTGTAGCCTAATAAATACTGTTAAGTAAAAATCAAAATTACTTTGTTCTCTAGACTATCCCCAAACTTCATTGATTTCATTAGTTTCTTTTTTTTATCCGCAAATCGATTGTCCTGCTCAGCAGTGGTGCCCTGAAAAAAAAAAAAATGACGTTTTACTATTTAAACAAATTTTATATGTACAAAGTATTTTAGATTTAGACAATAAGTCTATTAACTTTAACCCTGGCATATATACATAGCGTGTGTACCGAACCGCGGTACAGAATTTAAAGTACCACAAATTGAACCGAGGCATGTACATGTATATCTTGAACCTGTAGTCCTAATGGTGTGGGATTTGGAGGGGTCTCATTTCTCATAAGTAAAAAAAAGTCTGGGCCTTTCTTTATCTAAATGATAAATCCAGCACTGTTCAAGAAGGAACTTAATTTTGGGGGATATAAGAAGAAACTTCAGTAGGCCTACTTAAAAATATCAACAAGCTTATGCGAAAATGTATATTAAAACACATATTTCTTCCCAAATTATTTCCAACACCCAGTCTACAAAATCAATGCGCAATTCGTGCGTTGCGTTCGTCAAATTCCGTCCCCGCTTTACCCCAACCTATCATCATACCAAATTTGAGTCGTAAAAATTATTGATGGACAGGGGTCAAAATTCGTGAAATTGGAACAAAGGTATTTTTTTTTAAAAAATGGCACATTAATTCCTTCTTCACTGCGGCAGTTTTTATGTACACCAAGGCAAAACTTTTAATTTACTTTCGTCACTACGGCATTTTTAAACTGGGAAACTTTGATTGATAAAGATTATGAATAATCTTTTAATATGAATCCATTTTATTTCTTCGAAATCAGAAGGCCTAAAATTTCTTGCAAAACCGCGAGTCTGCTTTGACTCAGCGACACAAAATAATTCCACACCGTTTAATCTATTTTTAGCTGTGTGGTTTGAGACCTAACTCAATAGAAAAATGCAGTCATGAGAACTTGGGTGCCGTTGTGAATTTTGACCCCTGGAACCCCTGGATGGACTATACTTACGACATGGTGGAAGGTGCGGGGGCGCATGCGAAAGTAACAAACTGTTGGACTTGTGTACCATTTTGCAAGAGGGGATGTCGTAAGAATAGGCAATACTTTATCTTTATGACAAGATTTTCGTAATTGGCGAACTACATATAACACATTGTTGAACTTGTCCAAGCCAAGGCATTTATTTACAACAGAAATTAGAAAATGCACTTTAAATTATGAAATTTTTGACAAATCTAAATGATTAAACTAAGGTACCCGGACCCGTTTCCCTGTATTGAACGGGTCTGGTTCTTTTTGGGTGTCTTTTTAATTTTCCTTCGGATATCATTTTCATCTGTTGAGGCAGTTGGCTGGCTTCTTTGTTAGTAGGCTTGTCAACAAATAAAATTGTAGATTTCATTTTTTAGTTTTCTGGTTGATGCAATTATGCCAGTCTCCGACATCGTTGTTTTCCTGACAAAATTGGCCACACAATATTTTCTATCTAATTTGTTCGTTGTCGACCTTTTGCTACAGTTTTGTAAAAGCCGGCAAAATATGCTCCGATGGCAAAAATGGCAAGGTAAGGAGCTTTCTGAAGAACTTATAAATTTACTAATGACACAGTTCAGCCTCGCGCCTTGGTCGAACTAAAGAATCGCAAACTATACTCATATCGGACATTTTGACAACTGATAATGAAATATACATTTTACATGTTTATATACAATTTAAGCGCTTGGACATTACTCCAATCACACCAATTAAAAATGAATCAATTTTCTTTCATGTGCTTCATCTACTTTATTACCTTGAAACATGGATGAGTACATTATCAACACATACTAATGTATTAATCACTACTCATTTATCGTTGTTTTGTTAATTAATCTTCTTTGATGTGCTTCATTATGATCAAATACCATGGGTAAGTACATAACACTTATAATTTTCATATTAAAACAAACACAATTTATTAGAGATCCGAGTAGTCATATTAAAACAAACAACAATTTATTAGCGATCCGAGTAGTCATATTAAAACAAACACAATTTATTGAAATAACAATTTATTAACGGTCCGCGTAGTCATATTAAACAAACACAATTTATTAAAACAACAATTTATTAGCGGTCCGAGTAGTCATATTAAAACAAACACAATTTATTTAAACATCAATTTACTAAAAGACTACTCGGACCATACAAAAAGACTACTCGGACCAAACAAAAAGAGCACTCGGACAAGTTTTGTTTTAATAAATTGTGTTTGTTTTAATATGACCAGGGCTGCCGACAACCAGTATCGCAGCGCAATTTGCGATACATATTTTGTCCGTTGCTAATCAAAAATTAAAATCTAAAGTTTTTGATTCGCAGTAACTGCGAATCATTAATATGCCTTTCATTTTGGATATTGACACAAGGATAATCCACATTTGAAGACTAGAAAGCTTTCTCAACAATTTCAACGAGTATAAAATGTTGAATAAAATTTTATAAACAAAACTGAATTCTCCGTGTGACATTTTCTTCTCGAACTACCCAGACACAATTCATTATACGGTACTATATAATACAGGGACATAACTCTATGAATAGGGACTATTAAACCGGAAACAGGGAATCAAGTAGTACCACTCATGTTGCGAGACATCAAGTAATTATATTTTTTGAAAGAAATAAATCCAGTGTATCCTCTACGTATTGTAAATAAAATATAAAAAAATAAATGTTAACGTATTGTAAAATGATAAATCAAAGTAAAAATTCCCGTAAAATATCACGTGTGTCTAGTCAATCGAGGTGCGCCCGATTGAACAAGAAAAGCAATACACGATAAAAAGCAGACGAAATTGTTTTCTAACGAAGATTTCTAACGTACAAAAAATAACAATTAAAATGAAATGAAATGAAATGAAATGAAATGGGGTTTAACGTCCTACTGTTCTGCTCCTAACCTGGGCTAATGAAGACGGGCATACGCCATACAGTGTGCTATGAGGGAAATTTTGCCCGGACAGCGGCACTACAGCCTACTCTTATATCGAATTCCAACTGCCAAGGGATCTTTTACGTGCACGCCAATGTGTACACGGGACCTCGGTTTTTCGTCCCATCCGAACGACTAGACAGCTTTCCTTGTCAGCCCCTCCGTCCTGCATCACTGACAAGGGAGAACCACGCCTGAAAATCTGGATGAACTTTCTCGGCTAATGCAGGGATCGAACACCCAACCTCCAGGCTAGCGAGCCAGCGCCTTACCCACCTAGCCACCGTGATCCCCAACAATTAAAATGATTGGGGCTTCGGAAGTCACTGTTAAGAATTGGCTTCAGACATAAGACCTAACTAAATGTCTACATCACATTCACAAACTGTCACAAGTACTTGTGGCAGTCCTAAACAAATCTAAGATCAGTAAGAATGGAATCTAATCATATTTGTTGTGAACTAAAGTAATATCTTGTTATTTAGGTGTTTTATGTTGAAACTGAAAAACTGCTAATCAATTTTTAAATTTGCTAATCAAATTTGGCAAAATTGGACTTTTTGATTAGCAGTGCTGCTAATCAACCGTGAAAAATTACCGACAGCCCTGAATATGACTACTAATAAATTGATGTTTAAATAAATTGTGTTTGTTTTAATATGACTACTCGGACCGCTAATAAATTGTTGTTTTGATAAATTGTGTTTGTTTAATATGACTACGCGGACCGCTAATAAATTGTTATTTCAATAAATTGTGTAGTTTGGTCCGAGTGGTCTATCAATTGGTCCGAGTAGTCTTGGTCCGAGTGGTCATGCATTCTAAACTAAATGTGTTCAGTTGATTGTTACTTGTCCGGCAGCCAGGACTTCATATTAATATATCATTAGGCAAGGGCATGGCTATGGTTTAAGTCTATCGCCTCTGTAAATTTTACACCCCATGTGCCGGCGTAGAAAAATAAGTTATTTATTTAACATGCTTCATTTCTAGATTGCTTGATTGATGCGGATTGTTGTTGTTAAATTTATTCTTTTACCTAAAAAGTAGCATTGCATATGCATTCCAAATTAACCTGTATTGAAAGTTATATTTTAATGTGATTTTTCATCAGATGCATAATGTATCACCGATTTATTTCTTCACAAATGATCTACCTTAAAAAATCCTGCGTCCGCCATATTGTCTTTCTGGCTGGCTAATTCCACCGGTAGGTGGCGCTGAATATAATCAAGTCATGTTTGTTCTGGGTTGGATCTATTTCATAAGGCCAACTTCAAGTTTGGTCAAAGGTTACGAGATGTAAACAGGGCTAGCGCTAATCCCAACCCTAACCCGGACCTTACCTTAACGCTTACCCTAACCCCTAGCCTACAATCTCGTCAATAATCACGTGCCCTAACCTTATTTACATCTCCGCGACCTTGACGAAAATTGAGTTAGCCTTAAGAAATAGGGCCTAGATCAAGCCGTTATTGCTCTGGATTCGAGATCTAAAAGCCAAGAACCATTACAGATTTCGTCATAGGTCACCAGTTGTAATAATAATCATAATAATAACTTATTTTCAAAGGTTAGGACACGGGTTAGACTAAGGCTAACCCGCAAATCTGATCAAAAATCACGTCCCTTAACCCTATCGTGACCTTTGACGAGATCTGCAATGGTTCTTGGCTTTTAGTCTTTACCGTTTGCTCTGACCTTGTGAATCCTTATTAATATAATAATAATATTAGCGTTGTTTCATTCTTGGGCCTGTTCATTGGTTCCACAATAGAATTGGAATACTCATTTGTAATTCCATGGCTCGGGTTTGGGTGTTGTTGTGTTTTTTTAAATTATAGACGACCAATACACCCGTCTATATTTGGCTATCTTATTAGGGTTTCACACTGCGTAGCCAGTGTGCAGTGTGAAACACTATTGTTTTTGTTCGGATTATTATTCTTCTTATTATTATTAGGGTTTCACACTGCAAACACTATTGTTTTTGTTCGGATTATTAGGGTTTCACACTGCGTAGCTTGTGTGAAACACTATTGTTTTTGTTAAAATTATTCTTATTATTATTCTTCTTATTATTATTTTTTTTTTTTTCCAATTTGATTGTATCTCAGAAACTACTTGTCGGATTGATTCGATGTCTTCGGTTTTACTGGAAAAGTGGGCGTGACTTAGAGATTAAAGCTATTTCGAACGTTCTGCGACAATGCGAAATGTCCGAAATCGTCGAATTTGTCGATTTTTGAAATATTGCCGTAATATTAACAATAATCGTCGGATTTTAACATTGGATACATTTTGACATAGCCAGAGACAAGGCACATAGCCACGGTTCTTTAGATTTTTGATTTTCCACGAATCGTCGGAGATATTAGGCGCCAAATTTTGAAAATTTAAATTTTTACAAAAAACTTTTTTATTCATGAATATTTTAATGTGGTATTTTACCCAGGGTTAAAGAGTCATCTGATTTGACTAAAAATGGCACCATTTTTTGTCATCGTAAATTTCCTTGACCCCCATTGGCTAATTCAGTTTTTCAGTCATGGATTAATTATTGATTGCTCGATTTGTATAAAACAAAGTTCATATGCTCCGTAATCCAAAATGTCATTTTTTTTGTTACCGGTAAAGTTACCTTTCGGCAACGGAAGTGACGTAAATTTAGCAAAAACTACAATTTTGACAGTTCGGTACCACTTTTTGAAAGCAAATATTATTTTTTTCAAATCTGGTATGACTGAAAGTGTGTGCCCTGTAAAGGCGCAGAAAACATCGGGCTCAGTTTTTTTAATTTCGATTTCGTTTTCGGGTCATTTTGATTTAAGGGTGAAAAAAGGTGAAAAAATGAGCTATTTACAACCCATTCAGGCTTTTCATATTTTAAAATATTTCTTCGCAACTTTCATAAACTTGTAGCATTAATCCATACGAAGATAATCTATCTCAAAATTAGTTTGTAATATGAGCAGTTGCCGATAAATGGTCAATTTTGCATGAGTCACTCTTTACGCTATTGTGTCTGTAAAAGAGTCAATTATTATTGGATTTTCATAAAAGTGACACCATTTGATGCGTAATGTCAATTGTGACTAGTTCAACTCAATTTAACATTTTCCATGTCACCGGAAATGACGAAATTTGGGTAAAAACTGTATTTATAGCCTTAGAAACAAATAATTTATTGAAATGAGTCGTATTTGTTGTTTGTTTAATATTTTGATATTTGATTCTAATCAACTAATAGAATGAACCCATACGATCATATAGGTATCACAAAATGGTTTCTAACTTGTTCAGTTGTAGAGAAATAGGTAATTTTCAACAGGTCACTTTTCAAGGTTTTTTGTCCATAAAAGTGTCAATTATTATTCGATTTTCATGAAATTTTCACTATGTGATACCTAATGCCATTTACGATTTCATACAAGTAATTTAAGATTTTCATTATCACCGGAAGTAACGTCATTTTGGCAAAAACTGTATTTTTAGCTTTCAAAACAGATATTTTATTCAAATGAGTCTGAGTTGTTATGTTTTTAAAATTATGATATTTGATTCCAATCAACAAATAGAATAAACCCATACGATCATACAGATTCCAGAAAATGGTTTCTAACTTGTATGGTTGCAGAGCAATTGACGGTTTTCTACAAGTCACTTTTTAAGGTTTTTGATCTATAAAAGTGGCAATTATTATTCGATTTACATAAAATTTTCACCATGTGATGCCTTATGCCATTTCTGATTTCATAAAACTAATTGAATATTTTCATTATCACCGGAAGTACTGTACACTTACATGTAACAAATATATAAAATGAATTGATATTGCTGGATTTGGTTGATTCGGCGTCCATTTTATTTGATGTGTGCAATGATGAGGTGGAAACCTGTTTAATGGTTTCATTGGTACCGGAAGTGACATATGTTTAGGGTAACGTGGCACCGGTGAAACCCGTCATTACTGCATCGCAGTTCTAGTTATTCTTATTATTCTTATTATTATTTTTCCATTTGAGCATATCTCAGAAACTACTTGTCGGATCGATTCGATGTCTTCGGTTTTACTGGGAAAGTGGGTTTGACTTAAATTTTAAAGCTATTTCTAACGTTCTGCGACAATGCGAAATGTCCGAAATCACCGAAGTTGTCGTTTTTCGATATTTTGCCGTAATGTTATCAATAATTGTCGGATTGTAACATTTGATACATTTTGACATAGCCAGGGACAAGGCACATAGCTAAGGTTCTTTGGAATTTTTATTTTCGACGAATCTTCGGAGATATTAGGCGCCAAATTTTGAAAATTTAAATTTTTATGAAAAACTTTTTTATTAATGAATATTTTTATGTGGTATTTTACCAAGGGTTAAAGGGTCATCTGATTTGACAAAAAATGTTGACATTTTTTGTCACCGTATTTTGCCTTGGCCCCCATTGGCTAATTCAGTTTTTCAGTCCTGGATTAATTATTTATTGTTCGATTTGTATAAAACAAAGTTCATATGTTCCGCGGTCCAAAATGTCATTTTTTTTGTTACCGGTACATTTTCCTTTCGGCAACGGAAGTGACGTAAATTTAGCAAAAACTGCAATTTTGACAGTTCGGTACCACTTTTTGAAAGCAAATATTATTTTTTTCAAATCTGGTATGACTGAAAGGGTGTGCCCTGTTCAGGCGCAGAAATTATCGCGCTCAGTTTTTTAAATTTTTATTTCGTTTTCGGATCATTTCGATTTAAAGGCGAAAAAAGGTGAAAAAATGAGCTATTCACAACCCATTCAGGCTTTTCATATTTTAATATATTTTTTCGAAACTTTCATAAACTAGTAGCAATAATCCATACGAAGAGAATGTATGTGAAAATTAGTTTGTAATATGAGCAGTTGCCGAGAAATGAGCAATTTTGCATGAGTCACCCTTTACGCTAGTTTGCCTGTAAAGGAGTCAATTATTATTCGATTTTCATAAAAGTGACACCATTTGATGCGTAATGTCAATTTTAACAAGGTCAAACCAATTTAACATTTCCAATGTCACCGGAAATGACGTAATTTGGGCAAAAATTGTATTTATAACCTTCAAAACCAGTAATTTATTCAAATGAGTCTTATTTGTTATTTGTTTAAAATTTTGATATTTAATTCCAATCAACTAATAGAATGAACCCAAACGATCATATAGATATCACAAAATGGTTTCTAACTTGTTCAGTTGCGGAGAAATAGACGATTTTCAACAGGTAACTTTTCAAGGTTTTTGGTCCATAAAAGTGTCAATTATTATTCGATTTTCATAAAATTCCCCGTGTGTGATACCTAATGCCATTTACGATTTCATACAAGTAATTTGACACTTTTACTGTTACCGGAAGTAACGTCATTGTGGCAAAAACTGTATTTTTAGCCTTCAAAACAGATATTTTATTCAAATGAGTCTGATTTGTATTGTTTTTAAAATTATGATATTTGATTCCAATCAACAAATAGACTGAACCCACACAATCATACAAATACCCAAAAATGGTTTCTAACTTGTACGGTTGCAGAGAAATAGACGATTTTCTACAAGTCACTTTTCAAGGATTTTGGTCTATAAAAGTGGCAAATATTATTCGATTTACATAAAATTTTCACCATGTGATGCCTTATGCTATTTCTGATTTCATGAAACTAATTTAACATTTTCATTATCACCGGAAGTAATGTAATGTTGTCAGGATCACTTGCATGTCAATGTATACAATGAATTGATATTGCCGGATTTGGTTGATTCTGCGTACATTTTATGTGATGTGTGCAATGCTTAAATGGAAATAAACCTGTTTAATGGTTTCATCGGTACCGGAAGTGACATATGTTCAAGGGTAACGGGGCACCGGTGAAACCCGTCATTACTGCAACGCAGTTCTAGTATTAATTGTTTTAGTTATAAAAACAGGGAGTATAAGAACCCCTAAGAATATCTAGTTGTCCATGAACGGGTTTTTTGTCCTCTTTTTTGGTCTCCACCAATTCAAGTCAATGTTTAGTAAGTATAGGCTATCATTCAAAAAATTATCTCATAGACCAAGAGTACGGTATTAAGTTTGAACAATGAATGGTGTAATATCATTTGTGCAAATCCGCGGTATTAGGTTTTTTTAAATATTAATTGGTTGTGAAGGACGAAAAATGTAGGATTTTATGGTTTTATTTGTCATATTGCAACGTGGATAGTCTGCATCGGTCGGTCGATCCGCGTCTCCCCGGCGTTCACAATTAGTTCCAAACTTCCCGGACTTGTTCGGCTAATATACTAAGGAATGTTTTTATAGAGTCGCGAAATGATTTTTTTGCAGAGTCCTAGGCCCTGTACTGCCCTTTCTGTAACGAAACCTTGTAAACGCTCATGTAGGCTACTGGTCAGAGATTTTGAGATTTGTCTTGCTGGGAATTTTGTCAATAATAGTAAGGGCAGGAGGACCGCACTAAACGTAAAACAAAAATCTACACGATAAACCTGCGGACAAGACAGAACATAGGCCTAGACATTGCACCAAATAAACAAATATCAAATCAAGTGAATGGATCCGGGGGCCAGCCGTGGGGTTTAACGTCCACTCGACACAAACTAGGTCATTTCGGGACTAACATATGTTTTTTTTAATTTTATTTTAATAATTCGCTTGCGCGTAGGGGTCTTTAGCAGTGGGAGGAAACCGGAGGACCCAGAGAAGACCCACGAGGTTGGACAGGCGACCCTACTCCTTGTCACGTACAACCTGGGATTCGAAACCATGCCAGCTGACTCAATGACAGGCCTTATGATGTAGTGACAGAGACTTCACTCAAATTTGAAAACAATCAGGAATACAAAATGACCTAACAGAAATAATGCGACTAATCTTGACAGTGGTCGTCTCCCCAATGGCGATAGTCTGCCAGTTAACGTCATGAGTTAGAACGTCAAACAATTTTAACAATAAGGGCGATAATCCGGATAGAATCTCGGTAAACTAAAATAACAAGTGTAGTGAGCAAACAGGATCAGGAACCGTTTCGAGTGGTGAAATTAATTTTGTGTATAGTGAAATGCCCCTGTTACCGAAACCTTGTAAACAGTCAACGCTGTAAGAGCTTAATTTCAACTTGGGTTTTTTATTTGCTATGTATTTATATGGGCTACTATACGTTTTTGCATACTATATTAGATCCATCGCCTAAAAGGCTACTTAGACCACAGGAATCTGACCTTCTATACGTATATATATGCATACACCATGTCCAACCAGACAATATATAATAAAAAAGAATATTGCCTGGTTGGACATGGTGTATGCATATATATACGGATAGAAGGTCAGATTCCTGTGCTTAGACATTGGGCAAAATTCTCCAGCGTAGCATTGCACACGTGACTGAAGAAACAAGCAGCTACCATTCACCATACCACAGTGTCCACAGCATTTATATACACATTTGCGTAAAAGACTGAGGCAATCACGAAGGAAATTATTGTTCGATGCGTACCAAGTCGGACTCAACCAACATCTTGTGATCTTTAACATATCGGAGCAGAACAGTAGGACGTTAAGCACCATTTTATTTCATTTCATTTTAACATATATTTAAGTTTCATCTGAATTGGGGGGCTCGTAACCCGTTCTATTTTAATCGGACAAAAATGTGGCCACGAGCTGGTCCATAATATTACACGGATGGGCGGTGGAACGTTGAGGTTACTGGTATGAATAGTCCATAAAATCTTGGCCCACCAGTTTTAGATAATTCTGGTGGAATGATTAAATGCTTTGCCACTATTTGCGTAAAAGGGAACGACAATTTTAACAGTCCGATTTCCGCCAAAATCGAACTCATCTCCGATTGTTCTGTAATAGAAAGCAGCAATAATCGTAGAAGTTACTGCCCGACATTTGTCAAAATCGAACCCTCTCGAGATCTTTGGGATATAAATTCTGCTTTTGTACCTAGTTTTGTGAGAAAATAAAAGTACGTGTAAGAGTGTATTATAGAAAAAGCATTATGTGAAAAGTGAGGGGCATACGCACAGGTGAATGTAAAATTGTTGAAAACCAAGCATGCCAAGAAAAATGCCTTGGAAAATAATACCATGAGACATAATTATGGATGTGATCATAACAGATCAAAAAAATATACAATATCCCCTTGTCACAAAATAGGTCAATTCGGGACTATCATGATTAAATTTTATTTTAATAATTCGCTAGCGCGTATAGGGATAGCGGTGGGAGGAAACCCATGAGGTTGGATAGGGGACACTACTTCTTATTGTATGCAAGCGGGGAATCAAAAGCAAAACACTTGACTCAATGACAGACCTAATGATATAAAGCCACCTACCCCCCAATAAGACATTAAAACCATAATAATTTTTGAGACAATATAAACTCTCTATAATAAGGTGCTAACAAGAAAGATAATCCTTATAAGACATATAGAAGTATATTTCACAAATTAAAAACACTTATATGGATATACTACTTCTGAATTTATTAACATGCTACGTTTCGATACCCATACATATAATATCGTTATGAAAATGCTCAGGTTCAACGTAAATAAACGGCCGAATCTTTTCTCTTTATTATACCCCCAACGATAAATCTATAAACTATTTTTTTTTAGAGAACTAAAACAAAAAAGCTATATTAATTTGTGTTTAATCGGGTGCATTAATTTTTTTTCTTTGGCATGTTTATCATATCACAGTTCATCATTTTTTTTCATTTTATCTTGCCTTGACTTTGTTTTATCAGACTTTTTGGCGATATCTTCTTCGTCATCGGCAATTATTTCTTCTTCAATTGAATCATCAACAATAACAAAGCTTTCATCTTTTTGTTTTTCTTTTTGTAAATCATTATCTTCCTTTTCTTTCAACTTTTCTATAAACAGAAAGCATTAACCACATTAATATAGAGTACATTGCAGTACACAATATACAACAAAACACCAGAAACTGATTTTAAACCACCAGTTTCCGTCAGGAAGACAAACACTCTTCGGACTATCGTATGGCGTCTTATTCCCCTCTCTTTCTTATACTTTAAAGGAGCTACTCAATATCATCCAAAATCTTCAACATTGAAAACACGATTTACTTGTCAAATTAAATCAACATTCATGTTGTGATCTTACCGGAAAAAGATGGGCTTTTGATATCCAATATTTAAGACAAAATAAACATTTTACCATTGGTACCATAATGTGCTTCAACCCCAGTTGTATCAAGAGACTCGAAGGACGAGGCTAGACACATTGTACCAAACAAATCAAACGGCGTATGTAGACTGGAATAACCAGACGCTAGAAATTTGCACTCGCTTGAGACTGCTGGCTTATTTCGCCGAACATAACTGATTTGAAATTGGAGTAAAAACGGAAACCATTGAATGTAAATCAGTTTATATACATTCATATTACAGTATTATATGCGTTGCGACCCACTTTTATCAATTTCTAGGTCCCAAATGTTAGCGATTTAGCTCCTTTAATCAAAGAAGGACAAAGGGTTGCCATCTGTGTATGCGAAAATTTTTTCACATTTAATATAAATAAAATAAAACCAAGTACGAACAATCCAAACCATTAGACAAAATTCTAAGTCCTAAAAAAACGGTATAGGCAAAATATAGTGTAATAAGGCAAAATAGTGTAATCAGCATATGAACTGTTCACCGTGTACAAAATACACGACAAACAGTGGTAACAGGTGTCCGGAAGAGTAAGCTTACCCTGCCTGGCGCCACACCCGCCATAGCTGCATCCAAACTATTAGGCGAAATCTCGGTAAAATAGCGTGATTGGCCAATGGACTATCGGTATGCAAAATGCACGTGATGAACAGTGTTAACGATGTAGTAGACAGACATTATCATCAGGGAGATTGTATACGCGCCAATTAAATATATCTAGAATAATAGCCGAGAGAGACATGTTATATTTACCAATCAAGTCAATATGACGCCCATAAAACTTTTTAAAGGTTTTAATAAGTTTAGTTCGCAAGTATCCCTGTAGTTGAAGCTTAGATGACCAAATGCCTCGATCTACTTAAAAAATCAGAATAAAATGAACAAGCTCTCGCGTAACGAATTAGTTGAGACACAAACACTCCATAAGCTGGTAATATTGGAATGTTACTACTAATAAATGGAAAGTTAACAATCGGAAAGTCGAAGTCATCACGTTTATCGTACAATTTAACACTAAGTTGTCAAAATCGAGACGCAGATCCAAGTAGGGAGCGTAATTGTCACTGTCAGTAGTGTTTTTAATTTCGAGCTCATCAGGATATATGAATTCTACATAATCACTAAATTTTGGATTATTCAGTGATAGAACATCGTCGATATATCAATAAGTGAAATTAAAATGTCTGACTAATCGTTTATTTGATTTTACGAGTGCCTGTATGTAATCGGCTTCGTAGGAATAGAGAAACAAATCAGCAAGCAAAGGTGCACAGTTGGTGCCCATGGGGATACCTACCACTTGCTGATAAATTTCCCCTCCAAATTCAACAAAGATATTATCAATTAAAAAATCCAACATCTGAATTATCTTGTTGGCGGTGAATTTATTTTTGGAATCATTATGGTTCTTAACAAAATATGTGGAATTGTAATTAACAACTAAATATTGATATCTAACATTTCCCGATTTAGATGAAAAGACACCGTGAATAATGTCTTTTAACCGAGCTTTTAATTTACTATGGGGAATTTTAGTGTACAAAGTAGAAAAGTCAAACGTTTGTATAGATGAAATTGAAGCAAGTGATCTAGATTGTAAACCATCAAGTTATTCTTTGGAATTTTTTAATATCCACATTTGATTAAAACCACTACGAGAGTATATTTTGTCACAGTATTTTTGAATACCCTCTTTCACTGCCGTTAGTACATAGATGTCAATACTTTTGAAAGTGTTTTTGTGGAACAACGGGATGAACCTGCTATAAAACGTTGCTTGTAGGGATTTTTATGTAGTTTAGGTATCCAATCCCAATTCAAATTTGGTTTCACTGAGGTTAGCATTGGTAGATTATTTTTGAATTCGTTAATCGGCCAGTTTCAAACAAATGATCACTCAAACCTTAAACAATTAATAATGATTCCTGAGTCAGATTCAGCTCAATAAAATCCGATGTAAACCTATATGGTCTATTGTAGACGGATAAAGTGCGATTTCGGAAAGATCTAACTAATGAACTAGATAATAAAACTTACTTTTTTCTCTTTCCAGTTTTATTTTAGCTTTGGCCTTTTCCCGTTCACTCCTTCCATTTTTCTGGGACGTCTTGGTAGATGAATCATCAGGTTTTTGACCAATTTGTCCTGAAAAGAGAAATAAAACCGTGTCATATAAATGGCAAAATAAGGAAATTAAAACAGTGATATTTATCCCTTTTCCGGAAGTGCGAGTTAGTACTGTGTACCATGTTTATGACGAATAAATCTGGAGACGATAATAGATTTATTATAGTATTGATACTGTAGAAAACGAAGTTGTCATCATTTTATTTGAGACTCTCGATGATAACGCTCGTGATATATTATGATTAGATTTTTGTATCTGCTGTAATAACGACCACATAGGATTCGATGTGCACGTAGTGCGCAATGCGGATGCCGTCAAATCAAAATCATTAGAAGCAAATCCAGGTCTTGTGCCCTGCAAGTTTCCATCGGAATGGTCTTATATAGGCGGATGAAGTCACTAACCCGAACCCTAACCCAAGCAGAAATCACTGAATATCACCAAACCCTTTGTTGTGTAAGAAAAACGGACGTATAAATTATCTTTACTTAATCTATTTTAATTATCAGATGAATTAAAGACCGCGATGAGGATTGCTGACCAATGATAGTTCAGATATCATGCTAGCGATGTGTCAATATGTTATTTCTATACCTTTAGCTTGTTTTTCAGCAAATCTCTGTTTAATATCAGGTAGTTGTCCTGTAACTGCCATCTCATCTATACTCTCGTGGATAACATCTTGTAATTGAGCAAGGTAATCTTTTAAATAATCCTGTACAGCCTTTTCAGCATCAACATCACTCTAAAATAAAATAAAAACAAAACCTGCCAAACTGTAGTATAAGATAGGTAAAATGAATTAGTTATATTGTACCATCATTCAAGTTTTACAGTTAAAGTTGACATTGTACAGCCACATGGCAAAAATAATATTAAGGGGTCGACGAGAGCTATTGCTCTCTCAAATATAACAAGTCATTTTCGAACCACACTCGCCGAAAAGCCTGGCGCAATCCATCGGCTGTGTTTGGTCTCGATACGACGTTATTAAGTCTCCTCTGAATTTCATCCCAAAGATGTTCAATCGGGTTTAAGTCCGGACTAAGGGATGGCCAGTGCATAACGTTGACACCATTCTGCTGTAGAAAGTCCCGAGTAACTTTGGCGGTGTGGGCACGGACGCTGTCATGCTGGAAAACGTTGTTTCGATGACGTGCGGAATGTGGGGTCTGAGAGCTTGGTCGATGTAGCGCACCCTGTGATGCCGCCTCCTCTCCATGGACCAAGATTTTGGAACACCACAGGACCCACTCTCTGGTTCAGGCCGATTCCACCCCTAACCATTATGCTTGGACCTCCCCATGAGTCACGTTCCATGACACATTGGTCAGAATAACGCTGGCAACGTCGACGCCATATCCTGGCCCTACCATCTGCAGTTGATACGCAATACGCATCTGTGAACAGAACAGTTCTTCATTGCCTGTGTCGCCAGTTCTGGTGTTGTTGGGCAAACTGTAGACGTTCACGTCGATGGCGAGGGGTGAGGATTGGTCCACGGTAATGTCTACGACAATGGATGTTCTCTCTGGTGAGACGTCGGCGCACTGTATCGGTACTGATGGGTCTTCCGTGTGTTCCCATTGTCTGACGTGCTGTCTCAGATGCCTGTGTGAAGGGATTCTGCACGTGCTGTCGCACAACATCGCGGTCTTTTCGCCTAGTGGTAACCCTTGGTCTACCAGTTCGGGGGCGATCATCCGTGGTGTTGGTGACCCCAAAGTGTTGCTGAAGCCTGTAGATGGTCCGAACATTGATTGGCAACGGCTTAGGCAGACGCAGGCAGTGTGGCCTGCGTCGAGTCTTCCAAGCGCCTGGTTCCTTTGAGCTGTCGCGAGTCGTTTCATGCTGCTGACGTTGTAGTGTGAATGATTCAACCAGGTATGGGGGTGCACTTTATAGGGCTGGTCCCGGTGAACAGCACGTGCAGCATGAGTTATATGAAAATCATGGAGAACACATTACCATCTCAGAAGTCAGGTTGCGTTTTTGAGAACATTTCCTGCGTTCAATTCTGTGTTTGGGAAGGGGCCTTATTGCCCAGGTAAAGTTGGAGATGTGGTCACAAATATACAATAAAAACATTTGGCAAGTTTTAAGCAATGCGTCTATTCATAGTAACCTGACGTTTCGTTTGCTGCTTAGTATATATTAAACGACAGTGCGATAACTAAAACTGTCAAGGAACACATTATCATGTTTACCTTTCAATATGTAAGAAAATTGTCCTACAAAAACAGCTTACCTTTTTATCTTTAGGTGCCGTTAGTTCTTCAACTTGTTTAATCTCATCCTGTTGGTCTTTCATTAAATCTTCATAATCCTGTATTCTATCTTCCAATAAACCCCCTATATCCTCTAATATCTGAAAGAGAAAATATATAACAGATATGAATATTAAATATAGGTTTTATCATTTACTTTATAAAGACATAATGAGTCTGGTAATCAATTAGACTAACACTATTACATGAGCTAAATCGCTAATATTTTGAACCTAGAAATTGGCACAAATGGGTCGCAACACATATAATAATGTAATATGAATTTATATAAACTGTTTTACATTCAATCGTGTCCGTTTTACTGTGAATTGTCATCAGTTATGTTCGGCGAAATACGCCAGAAGTCTCAACGGCAAGTCAGTTTCCAGCGTCTGGTTATTCCAGTCAACACCAATATTATTTAATGCGCATGCTCTCTAAATAAGAATATGATATCACCGTTTGACATGACTAGTGGAATATGTCTAGCCTCATTCTTTGAGCACCTTGTTACAGATGGCGCTGAAACGCATTATGGTACACGATTCGTGTACCAATGGTAAAACGTTTATTTTGTCTTATTTATTTTGGATATCAGAAGCCCATCTTTTCCTGGTAAGATCACAACACCAATGCTGATTTAAATTGCAAAATAATACGTGTTTTCAATGTCGAAGATTTTGGATGATATTGAGTTACGGACTTCAGTGCCGGACTAGACCCAGAATGCGTGAAGGACAAATGGAATGTGGCAGAGAGCAAATGCAAAATGTAATGAGAGAAATGTAAAATGTAGACACGTCAAAAAAAGCATTTTCACACAAAACATTTGTCATTTTTCACTTAACATTTGACGTTTTACATTTAACTCTTGCCTTAGAGGTATTTTGACTTTATCATTACCGGTATTATGACTTTGTACATTGTATTTTTTACATATAATCAATAGAAAAAACATTGTAGCAGAGCATTTAATATTGGCAGCGATACCCTTCCATAGGGAGGAGCCTTTTCGAAATCCGGACCCCTTTGACCGCGACCATGGCTATCTCTGCCAACAATGGTTAGATTTTTATAATCTGAAGTTCAATCTGGGGTTTTGCCATCATGCCGATCCCATCTATGATACACTTAAAGCAAATGGGAATAGTTTTCATTGAATTCCGGCGGGGAATACCAATTTCCGGTGTCTCAGCCTACCACTTTTTGTGGCTTTTGAAGCATGCTAAAATGATTAATATGGTCACTTTTGGGTGACTGGAATGTTCTGTCATGAGATTCAAGACACTTTGACATTTGTAACAAGTAAACAAGTTTAATATCAAAAACAAAAACAATCTTAACAAGCCAGAAGTCGCCAGAAACGAAACAAAAAGGTCCTATATTGGAAATACATACATCAGTTATTCATCCTCCTCCTCCTCCTGCACACCTCTAATCGTATTGGTACGGTCCCTATCAAAACACGGGCAGAAAGATATATACGGCATACCATTTTTGCGGCAACTGCATTGCCCCGCGCAGCCTGTTTTACAACCACATTTTGTGAATTCAATTACAGCACGATGGACAGGAAGGTTCAGGGATCTAGTTAGGTACGACTTGTCGCGTTTCGCGGTGTACTTTGTTCCTGTGATATGGGGCAACTAAACATTGCAGCACGAGTAGGTGGAAGCATCTCTCCCTCCAGGTTTTCTGAACTGAACTATTGCCAACTAAGTGCTGGTGTAGGTTTAATGGAACAGATGAAGAGTAGACTTGACAGGCAAATCTCTCCAATTCCTTGTCCTGCGAAGGCAAGTCACCCTTCGCCAGCTCAGGTGAGATGATACATTCTCCAAGCTTCTTGAAACAGATGATAACAGGGTCATCATCATCAAGCTTCATGTATGCACCAGCCTTTGTTTTCTTTGTGATGCCCACAAGTTTACCTCTCCAGTCAGCACCAGAGAAGCCGCGAAGTCCAATCAGACCTTGAGACTTATGACTTCCAATGACACGCACTCCTCGATCACCTCTATCTCTAGATCTCTGTGTTTTGCAGCCTTCTCGGTTACAAACCTGAGATGACTGCGGGAGATAAGGTCCATGAGAATTGTGAGGGCATCGGCGTCACGTGACCAAACACGTGCTTCCCGCCAGTAACACTCAGCTACAGATGCAAAATCTAAGATTTTCTCAATGATGAGAACCTTGTGTGGTGTAGCCGTTGCTGTATCAAACAGGCTAGGATATGATGCTGAAGGAGCAGGGGCTCAACCAGTGTCATATGCTAGCCTCGTTGATACAGCACAGGATACACCACCCAAAGTTATCACCATTTATGCTATGGCTGTACCTCAGAGTATGGAGAAATCATCAATCATGCAGAAACTCCCTGCCTACAAGAGGCATTCACCAAGCGAATCGACTCCATGCTGGTTGAATACCCTTGCATCTGTAGCTTATTGTGGTGTCCTCACAATTCTCCTAGACCTTGTATCTCAAGGTTTTAACTGCAGCGACCGCAAAATACAGAGAGATACATGTGATCAAACGACTTGGAAGTACAAGTGTCAAGGCCTAATATAATTTACAACCTAGCGGTGCTCACTAGGGAGGTAAGTTTGTAGGCACCGCACCATAAAAAAAATATGGGTTTGTGCATACCTTAAGCTTGATGGCATTGGTGACGACACTGTAATCAATTGTTTAAAGAACTTTTGGAATGCGTGACAATTACTGAATTGGTGAATTACACCGCCGTGCGCGACAAGTCGTACGTGACCAGATCTTCGAACCTTCCTGTCATTGAACAAAGTGGCTGGACAAAGGCATGTATGTTCCTGTGCAGAATCTTACTCTGTCTGACCCTCATGCTTTAACTGAACTAACAGAAAGTGGTTGTAAAACAGGTTGCACGGGGCAGTGCAGCTTCCAGAATAATGGTCGACCTTATACATCTCTGTGCAAGGGTTTTAATAGGAAGCGTACCAATATGACCAGGGGTGTGCAAGGGGACGAGGAAGATTCATCGCTGATGTAGTGGACTGCGTATTTATTTCCAAGATAGGAATTTCGTTGTTTTCCTTTTTTGGGACTTCTGGCTTGTTATGATTTCTTTTTGTTTTTGATATCAAACTTGTTTACTTGTAGCAAACGTCAGATTTGTCTTGAGTCTCATGACAGAACATTCCAATGACCCAAAAGTGACTGCATGAAACGTTTACCATGCTTCAGAAGCCACAAAAAGTGGTACTGCGTGATAGATTTCTCTAAACTAAATTCGATCCGAGTTTGACACCAGAAATTGATATTTCCAACCGGAAGTCAATAAAAACTACTCCCATTCGCTTGAAGTGTATCATAGACCGGGTCGGCATGATGAAAAAAACACCCAGAATGAACTTCAGATCATGAAAATCCAAAGATTATTGGCTGAAATCTATCCGAGTTTGCCACCGGAAGTTGGTATTCCCCACCGGAACTCAATAAAACTACTTCCAATCACTTTAAGTGTATCAGATGGGGTCGGCATGATGAAAAAACACGAGAATTGACTTCAGATCATGAAAATCCAACCATTATTGGCGGAGATAGCCATGTTCTCGTTCAGAGGGGTCCCGATTTAAACCAGCGGCTGCCAGGCAGAATACGCCCACATTTTCGAGAGATGGATAGAAAACAAGCTAAAAAGAAAGTGATTTTTCCTAAAATCAATGGCCATAATTCAGGAAATTACAATTCAATATCCGCAAATATCGAAAGGAACCAAGATCTTTAAGTTATAAACTTACATTTCAAGTTTAAACAAAATCGGATAAAAATTGTGACCTCTATAGGGTCCACAACCTTGATATACCATATTTTTACGCAATTTGAGAACGAGGGGCAGCCATTTTGTCTGTCAGTTTTGGACCAATTTTCACGAAATTCGAACTCAGTCGTCCTTAGAGTGTAAAGGCGATATAATAATACGGTTTTTTAAATCAGATAAAAATTATGACCTCTATAGGGTTCACAAGCTAAAAACGCAATTTGTCATACAATAAGGGGCCATAATTCATGAAGTTACGGTCCAATATGCGCGAATATCGAAAGGAACCGAGATCTTTGTGTTATAAACTTACATTTCAAGTTTCAACAAAATCGGATAAAAATTGTGACCTCTATAGGGTCCACAACCTTGATATACCATATTTTTACGCTATTTGAGAACGAACGGCGGCCATTTTGTCTATCCGTTTTGGGCCGATTTTCACGAAATTCGAACTCAACCGTCCTTAGGGTTTAACGGTGATATAATAATATATTTTTTTAAATCAGATAAAAATTATGAGCTCTATAGGGTCCACAAGCCAAAAAACGCGTTTTTGCGTACAATCAGGGGCCATAATTCAGGAAGTTACGGTCCGATATGCGCGAATATCGAAAGGAACCGAGATCTTTGGGTTATAAAATTAGATTTCAAGTTTCAACAAAATCGGATAAAAATTGTGACCTCTATAGGGTCCACAACCTTGATATACCATATTTTTACGCTATTTGAGAACGAACGGCGGCCATTTTGTCTGTCAGTTTTGGGCCGATTTTCACGAAATTCGGCTCAACCGTCCTTAGGGTTTACCGGTGATATAAAAATACGGTTTTTTAAATCGGATAAAAATTATGACCTCTATAGGGTCTACAAGCCAAAAAACGCGTTTTTGCGTACAATCAGGGGCCATAATTCAGGAAGTTACAGTCCGATATGCGCGAATATCGAAAGGAACCGGGATCTTTGGGTTATAAACTTACATTTCAAGTTTCAACAAAATCGGATAAAAATTGTGACCTCTACAGTGTTCACAAGCCAAAAAACGTGATTTTTCGTAAAATCAGGGGCCATAATCCATGAAGTTATGGTCCGATAGATGCCAATATCGAAAGGAACCGAGATCTTAGGGTGATAAACCTATATTTCAAGTTGCATTGAAATCGGATAAAAATTGTGACCTGTAGACTGTTCACAAACAATTGTGGACGGACAGGGGCGACGACAATATACGTCCACATGAAAATGTGGGCGTATAAAAATGCCCCTGCTAGAGGGACCAAGAGGTCGGAAAATTTGAGCCCCAACCTTTTTGGATAGCTTGGTCCCTAATCAACCCAAAACAACAAAAAAAACAATTTTAGCATACAAATCCTACGGGGGCTGTTTTGATGACGTCATACCACACTATAATGGCCCTTGATTGTACGAAAAATCACGTTTTTAGCTTGTGGTCACCGTTACACCCTAATTTCGTGAAAATTGGACCAAAACTGCCAGACAAAATGGCCACCCCTTGTACGCAAATAGTGTAAATATGTGGTATATCAAGGTTGTGGACCCCCTAGAAGTCACGATGTTGATCCGATTTTGATAAAACTTGAAATATATCTTTATAACCCAAAGATCTTGGTTCCTGTCGGTATTCGCGCATATCGGATCGTAACTTCCTGAATTATGGCCCTTGATTTTACGAAAAATCGCTTTTTTGTTTAGCTTGTTCTCTATCCATCTCTTGCAAAATGTGGGCGCATCCTGCCTGGCAACCGCTGGTTTTTATTGGCTTAATAGTTCATCAAATCAATTTACAAAATACATGCGTAAACGATTGTATACTATAACAATGCAAATAAATGACATTATTTATTATATTAGTATATGTATATTCTTAATTTATAAGCATATATACTGTGACAAACATGTTATTGATAGTATATGATATTGGCCATTCACCTCTACAAACCTCTTCATAAGCACGTATTCGTGGTGTTTTAATCCCACATGTTATTAACAAAATCTAGATATGACCTGTGTACATTTATACCAGTCAGCTAAATTAAAAAGATACCTTATAAGAATGTTAGTATCCATTTTCTCACCTGTTTGAAGGCATATAAGACCCTATATTTCCATTAAGACTTGTCTGCGATATCACTCCGGTGGAAGCAGACGTTAAATAAAGCTATTTCACACATGTCATGTACTAAGAGAGACTTGGTTAGGGAGAGACTGAGACGAGTAGAGTGGAGAGACTTTGAGCGTAGGAGCTCACCGGAGTTTAGCCGCTGCCTTGGCATAGGGGCGGAATGGTTGACATAATATAGTGATGCACCTTGCTGATGTTATTGTTTCTGACGTATTTAAGTTGCCATTTGATATATTTTCCTGTGTATTTATGTTCCGGTTTCCGATGTAAATAGATTCTATATTTACTAAACCGATCTTCTGTTAAACACTTATAGTATTACAGTGATTCGTTATGGTGCCATGGACCAACAAGAACCCTAGGTGCGTTTTCCCGTGAAAATGCAGAAAATCCCGAGTTTTAAAAAAATGAAGAACGGGAAACGTTTATCTGGGAGAAAGTTAGTGGCAGGCACGGTATCCATAGGAATTTAGATAATTTTTCTTGCGCATTTTTGTGGATTTTTGTTTATTGAAGGAACATTGACTAAAGGAAAAGAGAGATGGATTGGAAAAGAATTGTAATGTGTGTGATCGATGTTTTAAGGTGTCTAAATTGGATATTTAAGAAAATCTTGTATAAATATTAAGCGGTCTCACTCAATCTGCTGATATTTCATTCGACTGATGATTGTAGGAATCTGACTTTAGAAGATGATTATACTTACACGAGAATTAAGACTGTCTAGATCATCCAAGGAAAATATGCTATCTTTATTCACATCTAATATATCAAATACCTAAAATAATGAATTTTATGTTATTCAGTTTTAACATTATAATAAATCGCTTAACATATGACGGTTAACATTGTTTTAGCGGAGGCGCTCATTGGTCCAACGACGAGAAGGGCATTTTAATTATGTTATTATAGAGCATTACACGCGTGGCCTCTGGCTATCTAAAGTTAGTTATTCTTAAAATCATAAACATACCCTAATAATGTAACACAGCGTTCCCATCTAGTCCTCGTCGGATCACTGAGCGTCGGACCAATGACGTGAATCTTTTTCTGCTGGAAGATTTTGTAAAAATTGTTACCTCTTTTGTTATTTCTTCATATTCATCATTCCATTCAACCATATCTTCCATTAATTTCTTGTCCTATAAATTATCAAATGATAGTCTATATTATGAATAATATAATGTGATTTATTTTTATTATTCGTTAATTTATAATATCTTAAGGGGTGAAGTATCGGGTTGCGCAATGTGGACATGTCGACAGATTTACGGTTAAAAATAATATTGTATTCGGCTTACAACCCCCCCCCCCCCCCACACACACACCCCAATGTTAAGTCAAACCTCTTCACCCATGGAAATTAAAATAACAAATGGGTTGGTAGTCTAGCATTTCATTGACAATTTGTATCTAAATATCAAAGTAACAAATTATAATGTATTTTTTTTTATTCTTTGTCCTCCGAAATAGGGTCAATCATGGACCCGTTATTATAGTCCTGACAGTTTGGTACAAGTATGAAAGATAGGTTGCCAGGCAACGAAACATACGCCCACAGCAGCTAAATCGTCCGGGCAGTCAACAAGAGTTGTCGCATATTTTACTTTTTTCGGTAATGAAACATTTATAATACACTAAAATCTGATTAAGAGCAACAACTGAGAAAACCATTAGAATTTGTTTGGTTTTTATAAACTTCTACCCCATGCTAACGTTTTGTATACAAAACTTTTAATATCATGGATTTAGCTGTTCCAAGTCATAAAAATTCATTGAAAATCAATATACTTGTTCCTCTCAAGATCTTAAACTCTGTGTATCAATCTGAAGTCAATCGGATGATAACTTGAGCCTTTAGAGCGTCACAAGATTTTGCAAAGTGATCAAGGGCCATAACTTTGGCAGTAATTATCGGAAATCGTTGAAAATCAATAGGCTTCTTCGTCTCATGACCTTAAACACTTGTATAAATTTAAGATCAATCGGATATTAACTTTGGCCTCTAGAGCGTCCACAAGATTTTTTTAAGTGATCAAGGGCCATAACTCTGGCAGTAATTATCGGAAATCGCTGAAAATCAATAGGATTCTTCGTCTTATGACCTTAAACACTGTGTATTAATTTAAAGTCAATTGGATATTAACTTTGGCCTGAAGAGCGTCCACAAGCAATTGTGGACGCCGGACCGACGGACGGACGGACGGACGGACGGGGGCGACGACAATATGTGGGCGTATAAAAATGTGGGCGTATAAAAATGGAGACCTTTGGTGGCAGTTTTGATATAACAATCTTTGTACAGGGCCACAACCCTTCAAATAGGACATTATTTCGTGACAACGGGTACGTTTTATAACTTTTATCCGCCGTGGTTTTAGAACAAGTACGATTTTATTGACCTTTTTAATGGCGTTCTCAAACTGCTTGTGTGTAAAATTCTTGGACTCTGTCAGGTAGGAAGTCAGATAATGTCTGAAATATAAAACAATATATATGTATTGCTATTGTCAGTATTCAGTACATGCCATTATCTTTTTATGTGAATTATATATAGAATTTGATTTTTATAATATCACATTCTGTTTGCCTGTGTACAGTAGCTTTTGATAACTCACTGAACAACATGTATACAAATCTTAAAGATGCTTACAAAATAATTTCTTGTTTGTTAATATCAGAGCCTGGGCCATCTTTAAAACTAACACTGTTTAAGTTGGATATTGTATTTGTCATTTTACAATCGGAATCTTTCACTGATTTTGCTCTGTGGTACCATTCTATATTTACTGAATATGTTTTACCATAAGAATTTACTTGCCAATACCTGAAATTATTTATTAGAAAGTATATTATTGCGATTATACACCTGTTTGCCTCCACAGAACCGCCTGTCCACAGATCGTGTTCCGCTTTTCCAGTCGTGATGTCTGAAATCAAATTGTGGCACCAACGAAGTCACATAAACCCAAATACACACTTTATGTACTTACCTATACACCCGAGAATATATATTTTAGACTAAATGTATAGACGAAAAAACTGCCTGTGGGTGTATGTTTCGTTGGCTGGTAACCCATAGTTTATAAATATATTTGAAAGACTATTGGATCAAGAATAGGAATGTGTGCACACCCACCCAACCCACCCAAATAAACGTATTAAAAGCAGCACAGTGTATATGGGCAAATAATATCACACCCATGTAAAATGTCTAGTATATGTATACATACTTACCATTTAGTCGGTATAAAGAGACAATCTCCTGCTTTAACTTTTACTTTAAAATATTCAACTTCTCGTAAAGTCGGGTATTTATTATAATCAACATGTTTTACATCAATATCTTTATAATCAGCTGGAATCTAAAACAATAAGAAGAGCAATTCAATATGTCCGGAGGTAAATCACTTCAATTTTTTAAAATTATATATCTGGATGTACATCACTTCAGGTAAATCTACCTGGTGGCCTGAACAAATACCGTCTCTCTTATTTGCGACTGAATGTGACGATTAAAAATACTTTCATTTAATTTTTTTTTTCTTTTTTTTTTTTCACCTTTTCTCCATATTCTATATGACTTATCATCGTCACCTCCTGCCGACCAACATACACACATTTTATGGTATCTGTATTTCTTCGTTGAATTATACTGGAGTGGTTGTGATGACTTATCCATAGATTCTAAAAGAATTATATATTTATTTATTTTAAAAAAATAAACTTTCTTGGCTCTTTAACTTTAAATAGCCTACCTTTGACTCCCAATACTTTAATTATAACGATTGATTATTAGATCATAATACCCAAAGCGAGAAATGAATGTAGCCACACAGAAAATCAGGATAAAGTTGGATTAATCAGTGACCAGTAAAAATATACAAAGTGTATGGAAAATATGTATTTGTCCCTTATAATAAAGTTAAAACTATTTTGATGGAATGCGTTTTCTGTTGCTTATTTTTGATTTTTGAGAAAAGAACCCAATCCATTTAATAACAGATGCCATTTTCGCTTAGTTAATTTGGTTAGTAACTCCATTAATGAATAACAATAAATTGAAGCAAAACGATTTCTGGGACATTGAAGGCAACATAGAAGTTTGTTTGACGTTTGATTTCGAGGCGTTTTCTGTATCACCTTGGCAGTTGGAATTCGATATAAGAGTAGGCCTATAGTGCCGCTGCCCAGGCAAAATTTGCCTCATAGCACATTGTAAGGCGTATGCCCGTCTACATTAGCCCAGTCGGGGCAGAACAATAGGACGTTAAAACCCCGTTTCATTTTCATTTCATTCTGTATCACCGCCTTTGATTGGTAAATTGATCTCATGTCGACCAATCGCAATCTGGGCATTACTGAACGTGTCTTATAAAGAAATATCCTTAGACCAGGATGGGGACATGAAGCGAATTAAACAACCGGGATAAAATCGAACAAAATGTTGGCATAACCTTAAATAATTGATTTAGTAATTGAAATATAGAATATCTTACGTGTTTTGATAATGATTTTACCATTGCTTGACATAGTAGACATTTAGGAACAGAAACGTCTTCTCTATAAAAATTGAAGAATAATGTGACTTGTCTAATTGTGAAATTTCTAGTTGGTACGATAATATCAAATGAATAAAACGCAGCATTTAAAGTCATTCAATAAAGTTGAGGTAGGAATTAGAAATATTATATACTTTTACCTCAAGAAGTGTGGAATTTCCTGATCACAGTAATATCCTTTGTCAGCATAATGTGATATATATTTTCTAAATGAAATATTTTTATTCTGGTCAGGTAGGGTCACCCAATTTGTTAGAGTTTGTGGTAATCGTAAGAAATAGTTTTTATTTTTCCAGTTTTGAAATGGAAATGAATTCTTTTCTGCTGCTTTGAAGTAAACAGGAAGATACGGCGCTGCATAGTTATTTAAGAAGTCGACCGAAGATGGAAAATTCCTATGAAGGTCTAAAGTGTGAACTCTTCCCGTTTTTCCAAATTCCTGCAAATGACCTGGCCACAACGAAGGATCGTCATCCAGAGTCACTGTTTTTTGAGACCCTGTGGAGTCTTCATTCACATTACTGGCTCTGTTATTCTTTGCTCTTTCCTTGGCACCCTCAGTTTGTCCGTACGAAAATAGTAAAATAATCAAAACACTAACAAATAGAGACATATTTCTGTTTCATCCCCAAGAACCACATGTTCTCTGTGTAATGAGAAAAGACAGATGGTCTGATAACAGACGTATCCTGAAGTATTTATTTTGTGAGCTAGATAATATTATGAATTTCAATTTACCTCAATATTCTAATTTCAGTAGTTTGTTCGCAATATATAATTCCAGGACCCAACGTCAGATACTAGCTCGTGCCCCCGCGGTGAAGTAATTTATAATGATTATCCTTTTCTAACTAGTTTAGTTACAATTAAAGCTATGTTTGGTACAGAACTATTCTTTTGTATGGTGCAAGACTCATTCGATGGGGTCATTTCACTGAGACATAAACAACTGAAAAGTATTTATCCAGCACCAATTGGTGCAAATATTTTGAGGATTAACAATCCTAAAAGGGCTTCGTTTTTCGTACTCAAATTGAGGCCCTCTAATAGCGATTGGATGTATGCCCAGTCTCAATGGCCTGTAGGGCAATCAGCTATTGGCTGAGCCATGGACCATGGCATATGGAGTTTATAATAGGTCCACGAATGAACCATGGAGTGGGATATATTGAACTTATGGACTGAACGCATTCATTGTAGTAGTAGGCCTACTGTCATTTTCAATAGTACATTTTTTTGTATCAAAATTATTATCTAGATTTCCATGTATTTAATATATTTCATTCCATGTTTTATTACTCGATCCATGTAACGCTTCTAGCATTCCTATAGATATCATATTTCCATGTCAACACCTATACTAAGTCCGTTATTTATGGTGGCTGATAGTGACCATGTTAAATCTCGCCCTTTTCATAACACGACATCACGACAGTATTGACGCAATCATACGACACTTTATTCTGTCGTATCATCGTGTTATTTTTATCGTAACGTCGAGATGTCGACTTATTGTCCTAGTCTCTTTCTACAAGTCACAAAAATACAGCTGTACTCATAACATCATATATAGGCCTAAGTAGTAGATTTGATAAATATAAAAGAGATAGTAGGAAAACGTTGATTAATTATTTGTTTTCTCAAAATAATGAAACATTTTGTGTCCACAAGTGAATTATATTTGGTATTATATTAAAAATATCTAGAATTACAATAGCAGGACCAAAGTGAGTTAGCTAAGTTAATTCCTTGAAGAAAAAGTGGTGTCGGGAGGTATCGAACAAGTAAGAATTCATTGCCATGTGTACGACACCCACCAATATTTATAGATGACTGGAGCGATAGTTTAAAAGTGATTTCAGAAGACAGGGTGGGAAGGGGATTGTAAAAAAAACAAATCGGGTCACATTCTTTAAAATCACAGCATTATCATAGTGCAGCACGTCACCCCAATAGTTGCAGGAGTTTTTTTGAATGAGGTGGAGAAAACGATTTGCAGCCTGTCATTGAGTCAACTGGCGTGGTTTTGAATCCCCGGTTGTACGTGACAAGGTGTAGGGTCGCCTGTCAAACCTCGTGGGTTTTCTCCGGGTTCTCCGGTTTCCTCCCACTGCTAAAGACCCCTATGCGCAAACGATTTATTGAAATAAAATTAAACCATATGTTAGTCCCGAAATGACCTAATTTGTGTCGAGTGGACGTTAAACCCTCTCTCTCTCTCTCTCTCCCATTTGACATCACTAATGGGATTGAGGCCTAAATGAGTAAAAATAGGCCCAGTAATATCTTCAACTATGAACACACTCTAAAAGCCTCATACCACCCCCCCGTCACCCAAATAGATGCAGGAGTTTTTTTTATGAGGTGGAGAAAACGATTCGCAGCCGTTATTGACCTTATCGCATATAGGCTTGCATCCGTTTGACATCACTAATGGGATTGGGGCCTAGATGAGTAAAAATAGGCCCAGTAATATCTTCAACTATGAACACACTCTAAAAGCCTCATACCCCCCCCCCCCTCCCACGTCTCTTATTTAGTTTTACAAATAATTCCAGAATCAATAAAATGGTATCAATGATGTTTGATACAACTGGAAAATAATATGTCAAAAATTGATAAAACATGAGAAATATTATTACATATTGAATCCGTATCAGTGATAACGTACATTTACTCAATATGTTCCTTCCAATGGATCATCATTTAACATGAAACAAGGAAAGCAGCGATCGAAGAAAAAGATTTAAAAACACACACATTTCAATATGACAGTAGTGATTCGGTCATGCATTTACATTCGAGAGTGTCATGCTTTCTTTGAAAGTAATGATTGTGCCAAATTTGAACAAAGTCAGTTTACATTCGCGGCCTATAGGTAGAGTGTTGACAGATCAAACGTAAAAAAAAACAAAGAAAAAACCAGACCTATAAAAATATATTATATCGAAATCCAACTGCCAAGGGATCTTTTACGTGCACGCCAATGTGTACACGGGACCTCGGTGTTTCGTCCCATCCGAACGACTAGACAGCTGTCATTGTCAGGCCCTCCGTCCTGCATCACTGACAAGGGGGAACCACGCCGGTAAATCTTGATGAATTTTGTCGGCCAATGCAGGGATCGAACCAATCTGTGAAAAAAGTCGTCTAATATCTCTGTAAAAGATGACTGTTTTCAACACATGCAATCACGTCACGTGGTGTCAATCATTGGACCAATGGCGCGTGCATTGTTTATATAAGACGTAACTGCTTCGGGTAGAATGATGCCTTTTACTCATTTTAATACCCATTTACGCTACACAGGAAATATTTTTTACCTACAAATACTTCAAATGTCTTTATTTATTTTTCTAATACATAAAAAAAAAATGTTTTAGAATTAAATTTGTTGGAGGAATAATGTTAATATTGGGGACTCATTAAGTCGCATCGATCTCATCCTTATCAGAGGCCTAGCGAATATTCACTTCTGATCAGTGTGGGATCGAACACCCGACCTCCAGGCTAGCTAGCCAGCGTCTTGCCCACGTAGCCACGCGATCCTCTGAAAGGATGATACTCTCGGGTGTAAATACATGACCGAACTACTACTGTCATATTGAAGAAGGGCATACGCCATACTATGAGCGAAATTTTGCCAGGACAGCGCACTATGGCCTACCATTATATCGAATTCCAACTACCAAGGGATATTTTACGTGCCAGGCCCTCTGTCCAGCACAACTGACAAGACCTCGTCGGAAAATCTGGATGAACTTTCTCGTCCAATGAAGGGATCGAACACCCAGCTTTCGGGTTACCGAACCAACGTCTTACCTGCCTAGACACTGCGACTCCCCCGCAAAATATCAAGCACCAAAAACAATGGATCGAGGCCTAGATGATTACACACTATGAAAGCCTCATACGCCCCCCCCCCCCCCACGTCTCTTATTTTGTTTTACAAATAATTTCAGAATCAATAAAATGGTATCAATGATGTTTGATACGACTGGAAAATAACATGTATAACATTGATTAAACAACATAGGTAGTAATGAGAAATATTACATATTGAATCCGTATTAGTGATAGCGTAGATTTACTCAATACGTTCTTTCCAATAGATCATCATTTAACTTGAAACAAGGGAAACAGTCGATCGAAGAAAACAGATTTAAAAAAAAAAAACAGGTTTCAATTTGACAGTAGTGCTTCGGTCATGCATTTACCTCCGAGAGTGCCACCCTTTCTTTGAAAGTAATGATTGTGCCAAATTTGAACAAATTCCATCTAGATTTGAGGCCTGTAGGTAGAGTGTTGACAGATCAAATGTAAAAAAAAAAAAAAAAAAAAAACCCAAAAACCCCAGACCTATAAAAATATATTTTCTTAAACTCTTTTAATTTTGAAATTATATTGTTTTATTATATAATTTCAAAATTAAAATAGTTTTAGAAAATATATTTTTATAGGTCTGGGTTTTTTTTACGTTTTATCTGTCAACACTTTACCTACAGGCCGCGAATCTAGATGGACTTTGTTCAAATTTGGCACAATCATTACTTTCAAAGAAAGAATGACACCCACGGATGTAAATGCATGACCGAACCACGACTGTCATATTGAAACTTGTTTTTTAAAATCTTTTTTTCTTCGATCGGCTGCTTCCCTTGTTTTCAAGTTAAATGGTGATCCATTAGAAGGAACATTTTGAGTAAATGTATCATTGATACGGATTCAAAATGTAATATTTACTACCCTATGTTGTTTAATCAATTTTAGACACATTAATTTCCAGTCGTATCAAACATCATTGATAGGGACCTGCCATTTTATTGATTCCGAAATTATTTGTTAAACAAAATAAGAGGGGGGGGGGTGCGTAGGGGACTTTCGGAGTGTGTTCATAGCTGAAGGCAATACTGGGCCTATTTTTAATCATCTAGGCCCCGATCCCATTAGTGATGCCAAACGGATGAATACGCGATAAGGTCAATAACAGCTGCAAATCGCTTTCTTCACCTCATAAAAAACCTCCCCTGCACTTATTGGGATGGCGTGCTACACCAATGCAGTGATTTTCTGTGATCTGATTTGAGGTTTTATATAATCCCCTTCCCACTCTAATAAAATAAATTGGAAATCTTCTGAAATCGCTTCTAAACTATCGCTTCAGTAATCTATAAGTATTGGTGGGTGTCGTACATGAGGCAATGCATGCTTGTTCGATACCTACCGACACCACTTCTTTTTCAAGGAATTAACATAGCTGACTCACTTTTGTCCTGCTATTATAATTCTAGATTTTTTGAATATAATACCAATAATTCAATTTTGGCGCAAAATGTTTCATTATTTTGAGAAAACGAATAATTAATCAACACTTTCCTATTATCTCTTTTGACGAGTCTTATTGTATCTAATCTGATGTAATGAGTGTAATGAGTACAGCTGTATTTTTGTGACTTGTAGAAAGAGACTATGCCAATAAGTCGACATCTCGACGTTAGGATAAAAATAACACGATGATACGACAGAGTTAAGTGTCGTATGATTGCGCCAATACTGTTGTGATGTTGTGTTGTCGTGTTATGAAAAGGGCGAGATTTAACATGGCCACTATCAGCCACCATAGTTATTTATGTATTTATACCCATTCATAATACTTGTATTGTGTCATTATCAGACCAGTTTGAGGTAAATGTGTATTCTGAGATGATTATCATACTCTTTGTCCTGTCAGTAAATGTTTAGCCTAGATTAAATTATTATTTGTCTTTTTTTAAAATATATATTTTATTTGTCATATTGTTATAAATTTATGTGCATGTTTATATTGTATGCTGTCCTCAATGGATGTATGGATACAATAAAAATCTTATCTTATCTAGGTCTGAAATGGGAGATATAATTAATTTAGAATTTGTTCCTAGTCCATCACTTAGCAAGGTTATCTAAGAGAGTATCTGGAATTGCCAGACAAGTATTAACGGATCAATTGTACGTATATCATCAAAATGAAGATAGTTTTTAATCTTACACTTCCTTGTAAGTTTCAGAACCAAAGATTTATGAAATGAAATGGGGTTTAACTCCTACTGTTCTGCTCCGACTGGGCTAATGAAGACGGGCATACACCATACAGTGTGCTATGAGGGTAATTTTGCCTGGACAGCGGCGCTACAGTCTACCCTTATATCGAATACCAACTGCCAAGGAATCTTCTACATGCATACGTATACATGGGCCCTCGTTTTTATTACAATCTGAACGACTAGACAGCTGTCCTTGTCCCAGCCTCCGTCCTGCACCACTGACAAGGGGAAACCATGCCGAAAATCGCCATGAACTTTCTCGGCCAACACAAGGATCGAACCCACTACCTCCATACTAGCGAGCCAGCGTCTTACTCACTTATCCACCGTGGCTCCCTAAGATTTTTATGTCTTTTCTGCAGGTTTTCATTCAAGGTAATCCCACAGAATCTTTATTAAGTACTATGGTATATCTTTACTTCAATAATTCGCCCAGGGGTTTTCAGTAGAGGCAGAAAACTGTAGAAAACCCACGATGATAGGATAGACGCCACTTATCCCCCAAAACCATTGAAGTATGCGTGTCAAAATGGTCTAGTTCAGTTGTCTGTTTGCAAACTTTGAGCTAATTAAAATCACAGTAATAGCAACACAATGAAAGTATAGCAGTTGCCAATGCGCACAAGTCGTGGTTACAGACAAGTTTGTTCAGGCACACAGTGATTGCTAGTCTAAACTCCTCTAGACAACTGGACATCAGTATCTCTTTTTGAAAATGTATCACAGAGCTTCAGACAGTTGCTGGTGGCCAGAATAAAGGTTTTTCACCACATTCCTCACAGAACTCATCAGTTTTGTTCACGAAACCATATCTGTGATTTCTACATTAAAATTAGCTTTTTGTTACCTTTATAAAATTATAATATGGAACCCTATATTTATTATCCCGCTGGTTTAATTAATAATAACAAAAGATATGATAATTTGTATTTTATAAATACTTTATATATATATATAATTAAGCCAGCAAAAGACATTAACAAAATATAAACTTGAATAACTACTGAGTTACATATATGTAATTACAACATTTACAAACATAAAGTAGTCTAGATGTTATACATGGACATACCTATCAGCTGTATGTTTTAACATAATTATTTTATATCATATATAAAATAACAGCAGATAGAAACAACTAGAAAATCTCAACTAACAAAGTACCCAAAAATAAAATCCTAATAATTATTATAATCACCTTGTTAAACAATTAATGTGGTAAAAAAAAACTATAGTTCATACAGAATACAAAGGGCCATCATGCAATCTGATTAAAATACAGATCTATATTTCGTTTCGGTTTTTTATACTTTCGGTGGCGTCAGATGTCATACAAGCGGCTTTTGACCTATGACATCACACATTTGATTAACCAATCAGCATTGATGATACTAGTGGATTACCCACAGTTCCATGCAAAACATGCCTAAAGCTCGCCGTAACAGACTGTTTCATTGGCTAATCCCTCACACCATTCAAAACACGTCAATGATAACAACTCTTCCAGATCCTATGGAGATAGAAGATTAATACAAAGATCTCTTTTACCATTCTAAGTAATGGGGACCCTTATCAGAATTCTCAGTGGTATTTTAAGGACCCCCAAGAAAATAGTCATCACAAAATCATTGTTCTGTCAGCCATGCCCTGTCAGCAGTAGGACATTATAGGACCTGGAATCGGCATTTAATCGGCTATGGGTTATTTGATGGTATCTGAAAACTAATAATATGAAACAATGGATTGTATGATTATATATTTTGTTATATTTGTAACCCGGAAGGAAAATTTCAAAACAGTGTATTTATATAGAAAATGCACAGGTCCAAGCTCAAAACAGGTCCAAACTTCAAGCCAAGAACTATTCAAAACTGACATAAGCACTGATTTATGACACATTACTGAAAATCAACTACAAGAAGCCACAACTATGTCACAGATATTTTTGAAAGTGAAAGGGATAATGTATAAAAGTCGAATGAAATATGATCATATATAAAAACAAGGTAATTCTGTCAATAGTTTAGAACATGTTATTGATCTGAAATCCAATATATGCTGGATAATTGTTTTTAACCAGAACAAACAAATATATATTTAAATAGAAAAAAAAGTTATAAGAATTTGTGTGTTTTTGGAGTCAGTCTGCAATTAACCTTGTAGCATATTCTATATAAACTCAAAATTATTTTCAAACATGCCAATGCATCATTATGCATAGTTAAAGTAGCTAAGTCTCTAACTCAATATCATCCAAAATCTTCAACATTGAAAACACTATTTATTTGTCAAATTAAATCAACTTTCATGTTGTAATCTTACCGGAAAAAGATGGGCTTTTGATATCCAATATTTAAGACAAAATAAACATTTTACCATTCGTACACGAATCGTGTACCATAATGCACTTCAGCCCCAATTGTATCAAGAGACTGCCTGGCTTATTTCGCCGAACATAACTGATTTGAAATTGGAGTAAAAACGGAAACCATTGAATGTAAATCAGTTTATATACATTCATATTACAATATTATATGCGTTGCGACCCACTTTTGTCAATTTCTAGGTCCCAAATGTTAGCGATTTAGCTCCTTTAAGTTAATGTTTTATAAATCACAATAATAAATCACAGCATCTGCATACAAAGCAGACCTTCGTTAATGATGTACAGAAAATCTAATAAAAAAAATCCAAAAATATGAGTAGTAATATAAAACTTTATATAAATTATTATAATTCTCCCATTTTTTTCATGTAAAGTTTCAGTAGCAAGTTCCACACTTGTATAGCTTGTGATCCAACAACACTCTCTGGCCAGTCAGTAAACATATCTATTCCCAACTGTTCGTGTTCTGTTGGAGGTTCTGTATAATAAGTTGGTATGTCCAATTCAGTCATCAATATATCTCTTAACCTAAAAACACAAAGAACAAGCCATCAGTGAGGCTGATGTCCCGCGCCGAAATCCCAAAATAAATAGATGACACATATTAATTAATCACACATTTAATTTTTTCAAAAGTATTGAGCAATCAAACTATACACTAAGTTTCATCACTATCAGATAGAATCAAGATTATCTTGTCCCAAAGCATCGACCAGTGAAATTGATTAGCTCTGCTTAGCTTCAGCTCGAAATGTTAATCATTGAACTTAGTCAAGTTTAAACATTCTACCTCAATTAAAAGCAGAGTTGTTATGTTCTAAAGTCTTGACCAATCAAGTTGCTTATCACTCCTTAGCCTAAGCAGAAAATTCTCACCATCGAACTAAGTCAAGGTAATGATATAATGAATCTATATTCAGAGTTTCATTATTCTCACTTCATTATAACCAAAGTTATCATGCCCAAAAGCATCAACCAATCAGAAATGAAATGAAATGGGGTTTAACGTCCTACTCCTAACCTGGGCTAATGAAGACGGGCATACACCATACAGTGTGCTACGAGGGGAATTTTGCCTTGGCAGCGGCGCTACGGCCTACTCTTATATCGAATTGCAACTGCTAAGGGATCTTTATATGCACGCCAATGTGTACACCATGTGTACAATGTGTTCACCATCAAACTCAATCAAGGCATTAACCTAATGAACACCTACACCAAGTTTGAACATTCTACCTCAATTAGAAGAAGAGTTATTGTGTTCCAAAGTCTCGACCAATCAGATTGCTTATCGCTCTGCTTACCCCCAGCAGAAAATATTCATTCTCAAACTAGTCAAGGTATTGATGTAATAAGGCTATACACCAAGTGTCCTCACTCTCACTTAATTGGAACTAAAGTTATCATGTCAAAAAGCATCAACCAATCAAATTGCTTATCTCTGCTTACCCTAAGCAGATAATTCTCATCTTTGAACTCCATCAAGGCATTGACCTAATAAACACCTACACCAAGTTTGAACATTCTACCTCAATTAGAAAGATAGTTATTGTGTTCCAAAGTCTCGACCAATCAAATTGCTTATCGATCTGCTTACCCTGAGAAGAAAATGCTCATTATCGAACTTAGTCAAGGTATTGATGTAATGAAACAATACACCAAGTTTCATCTCTCTCTCAATGAATTAGAACTAAAGTTATCGTGTCCCAAAGCATCAACCAATCAAATTGCTTATCTCTGCCTACCCTAAGCAGAAAATGCTAATATATGAACTCCTTCAAGGCATTGACCTAATAAACACCTACACCAAGTTTGAACATTCTAGCTCAATTAGAAGGAGAGTTATTGTGTCCCAAAAAGTGTGACGGACAGACAGACAGACGGACGGACAGACAGACAGACGGACTCATTTTAATAGTCCCTTGCTTTCTTTGAAAGGCGGGGAAGAAACAGACTATATGACCATCTCATTTAGGTACCGTTAAGAAATGGTATAATGTATAATTCTAAATTACCTCATTTCTCTAAAATCAACATCATCTTGTGGATCTTTAGTTTGTGCAATACGAAGTAGGATGGAGTCATATATAAGATGTAATAAAATATTTAATTTGTCTACACCAAATTTCTGGTATTCTTGAAGGAAATAGTCGGCATCATTGTCTTCCATCTCCCGCTTTACTTCATCATCTAAATCTACAAACGATTCCTAAAACAAATATAAATTAATATTAACTCTCATTAGTGGTGTTAACTTATGCAAAATTAATGAAGTAATATGAAAGACCAACATGTAATATATGTTATTCTACAAAAAATATGACAATATAAATTCCACATTAACATTACATGTATGAGGATATTTTATTGATAATTTACCTTCTTGCTTGCTGCCAGTATTCTGTCCTTTTCAAATGATAATGTTAACCACAAACATTGAAGATGTTTTAACTTGCATTCATTTCTAGCCTATAAAAAACATATTTAAATAATATCTATGATTAAATCAACTACATATAAAACAATATACTTTGGAAGTTTTCCATTCACTTGAAAATATAACAAACCAGGAAGTCCAGGGGTCAATGGTTCAATCCCAGTGTAGGCCCAGGGCCCGTCCCTAGAAAATTCATAAAGCAAGCAAAAAGTCATGCTTCACTTATTCTTACGTAAGAAACTTTATATACTATCTCTAGAAAATTCTCAAGACCATTCTTACGTAAGCACAAGTCAAGAATGAGTCAAAGCACATTGTGACTGGTAAATTGAGACTACAATGCTCTCTAATGTCATAAAAACAATTTTGGTATGCAAATTACGTCATAAATTAGTCAGCTGCACAGAGTTATAAATAGATCAATGACATAGAAAATGTGCCACAAGCTAAAAGATAGGTTGCCAGACAATGAAACATACGCCCACAGCAGCTAAATCTTCCGAGCAGTCAGCAAGAGTTATCGCATATTTTTACTTTTTCGGTAATGAAACATTTATAATACACTAAAATCAGATTAAGAGTAACAACTCATTAAGTAATTATCAGGAAATCATTAGAATTTGTTTGGTTTTTATAAAGTTCTGCCCCATGCTAACATTTAGTATACAAAACATTTAATATCATTGATTTAGCTGTTCAAGTTTTCAAAATTCATTGAAAATCAATATACTTGTTTGTCTCAAGACCTTAAACTCTGTGTATCAATCTGAAGTCAATCGGATGATAACTTTAGCCTCTAGACAGTCACAAGTTTTTTCAAAGTGATCAAGGGCCATAATTTTGGCAGTAATTATCAGAAATCGTTGAAAATCGATAGGATTCTTCGTCTCATGACCTCAAACACTGTGTATAAATTTGACGTCAATCGGGTCGACGACAATATACAACCACATTTCAATGTGGGTGTATAAAAACGCAAGCACATGCGAACCAACGGAATAATTGAGAGAGCGTATGATCTTAAAGTAGCCCATGTTTGTGTTGTTTACTAATTGGCAGAGTAGAAGCGAAATTTTCTACTATAGCATTCTTCTCAAGAATATGTTTCTAAAGGATTTTATCTGTCTTTTAATTGTCTCTTTGGTATCAAAAGATGTTGGAAATGCCGTCGAATATCTCAACGGTCAGCCATCTTGTTTGAAGAAGAAACAGACTTAGGGTTGGGGTAAGTAAGCTGTATACCTTGGTTGGGACTTGTGCTTAGATTGACAATGTTTAATTAAGAACAAAGTATTTTCTTGGAACACAATCTAAGCACAAGAATGTTCTTAAAGCTGAACTCCGGTTACAAAAATACCAAAATAATTATATAAAAAAAAGTTAACGCCCCAAGCCACCATACTTGTTTCCAATTTGTGAAATAAATATGGCGGACATGGAGGCTTATGACCTGGAAAGGTTAGCCGATCTCACTTCCAGTTTGTTTCTTGTCAGCCAGCTGTACACATCCGCAGTGGCGGCGCCAGGGGGGGCAATTGCTCCCCCATTAATCTGATCTACCCTCTGTTTGCCCCCCCAATAATTTTAGAAAATAAAAAAAAGTATTTGTGATACGTTTCGGTAATCAATACCTTCTACGGTGAATAAATCCCACATCCCCACTCAGTCATAAACTTGCATGTTGTAGAGCATTTCCGACACTCTATTTTTCAAAATTTTCTTGGCGAGGTCCCTTATGGACTCACTACTTTGGCGCTCACAAGGGGAATTGATTGAGGTTTGCAAGTCCGTTCGTTTGACATTTTGTTCTCTAGTCGGATAAACTAGTGATCAGGCGACGAACGGTATCTGGGCAGATCTATTTATCTCGACGATCGGTGCCTGACAGAATACTGTAAGACAGCATTTCCGGCAGTCTATTTTTCAAAATTTTCTGAGGGAGGACTCCCTACTTTGACGCTCGTCAGTGGGCTTCGTCGTGATTCGCAAGTCCGTTCGTTTGACACTTTACCTCATCGATCAGTGCCTAAAATACACCCAGGCTGCATTTCCGGCAACCTGTTTTTCAAAATTTTCTGGGGGAAGGCCCCCCTACCCCTAGTTGAAGCTCGTGCCTTTGCCCCCTTAACCTTGGACTTTGCCCCAGCTTTGCCCCACCAATCACTGACGGCTGGCGCCGCCACTGCACATCCCGCCTTATTCTCTACACACGCTTCAGTGATTGCTCTATTGTTTCCCAACAGTATACCAAATTATTGAAGATTGCAAAATGTCTGATCAGGTAAGCCTGTAAATAATTATATGATCTGCGTCTACTACTATATAGCCTAAGCACAAACTATTGTCTTCTTCATGGTTGAAAATTTCAGGTTGGGGTAAGCCATATTTTTGCATCTTTTGTTTTAGAGTAAAGACAATAGTTTGTGCAGGTGAGTAAATTATATGAACTGCGTCGACTACTATATAGCCTAAGCTTTACTCACCTGCACAAACTATTGTCTTCTTCATGGTTGAAAATTTCAGGTTGGGGTAAGCCATCTTTTTGCATCTTTTGTTTTAGAGTAAAGCTTTTAGGCTATATAGTAGTAGACACAGTTCATATAATTATTTACAGGCTTACCTGATCAGACATTTTGCAATCTTCAATAATTTGGTATACTGTTGGGAAACAATAGAGCAATCAGTGAAGCGTGTGTAGAGAATAAGGCCGGATGTTTTACAACTGGCTGACAAGAAACAAACTGGAAGTGAGATCGGCTAACCTTTCCAGGTCATAAGCCTCCATGTCCGCCATATTTATTTCACAAATTAGAAACAAGTATGGCGGCTTGGGGGCGTTAACTTTTTTTTATTCAATTATTTCGGTATTTTTGTAACCGGAGTTCAGCTTTAAGAATTATTTGGGACACAAAATAAGGTAAGTTTACTTAAATGCAAAGTCTACTTAAAATCTAAGCACAAGAACGTGTTTGAAAATTTTCTAGGAATCGGGGCCCAGAATCTTCCTCAGGATTCTTCAGTCGTGCAAAACAGAGGTCCTATGTACACATAAAATAACCCTGCAGTTGGAATTAAACAAAGAGCAGGTAAAAACACATGGTGCAGAAAAGTAGGATATTAAACCCACATTTCATTTCATTTATTTTTAAGAATGTGTTTGCGAGAGAACCATGCAGGGACCAGCATATGGTGGGTGACCGATTTTCACCATTTTTTTTATGTATGATGGGTAACCCCTCCAAACACCACTGCCACAATTTTAGATCAATCCAACCATTATTAGAGTGTAGAAAAAAAATCATCATTTTCAGGCCAGTTTTCAATTATGGGGTACAACTAAACTACGCAGAGTAGATTAATGAAACTTTACAGGGTATCAGATATGGTTAGTGAGTATACATTCTGAAAGTTTGATGGACTTTTATTGAGGGTTTTTTTGATATAGGGACTTCGTGCTGCAAGGTACCAAAATAGTTCAATTTAGGTATGTCATTTTATTCTACATGTATATCTCACCCACTGCGGGTTTAACAATTTTTTTGAAATGCTGACTGAAAAAGCAATGGTTTATAGTATTAAGATCAAGAAAAGAAATGGGTGGCACTCGACCTGTTAAATAGTAAATAATCTCTATTTTTGTCCAAAAATAACGATTTTCATCAAAAATGACGACAAAAAACCTGCTTTATTGACATATTGAAAAGTGTAACAGGGTACTGGGTACCAAATTAACGTGGGTTCCAGTTCCATTAAGAACAAGCCATAATAAAAATAGAAATAAATATAAATGCATTATATACTTTCATCAAATAATTCATGTTTAAAAATTGTTCCATTATCAAAACTACAAATACTTATTACCAATAAAGATTTCAAATTTAAAGAAATATCGCTATACTTTGCTATCTACTATCTATCTGCCTAATAAGTATCTATGACAACTGAGCTCACAATTACACTGTTAAAATTTTTAAACGATGAAGTTTGAAAAGCTTAATTTACTGTAAATGCCAAAAGAGCTGTTCCTGGTAAATATAATTAATCTATCTAGGTTAATTTTCAAAATTTTATTAATTCGCGATATAATCTCATGATCTAATAGAAGGATGATGAATTTTTGAACAGCATATCGTAAAAACTAAACAGTGTATTTTATACTAGCACAGTAGTCATATACATCTGTCTATAGTTGACAAACGAATCACGTGATATTTCAAAATGACAAAGATAGGTTGCCAGGCAACAAAACATACGGCCACAGCAGCTAAATCGTCCGAGTGGTCGTCAAGGGTTGTCGCATATTTATTCCTTTGTAGGTAATTGGGAGTTCCATACAGATCAGATTATAAATTTTGTCGTTTGAGGGTTTACAAGGTTCTACAAACTGAAACAAGGGTCTTAACTCTGGAAGTTATCTACAGAAATTATTGAAATTTGACAGGCTTTTTAGTTTTATTAATTTAAATAATGCATATAAATTTCATACAGATCACATTTGTCATTCAAACGTTCACAATTGCTCAAATTCAATAGACCTGTTTCACAAATTTAAATGATGCATATAAATTTCATACATATCGGATGATAACTATTATCAATAGAGCATAAACAAGGTTTAACAAAGTGAAACAAGAGCAATAATTCTAGAAGTAATTATTGTAAATTGCTGAAATTCAATAGGCTTTTTCGTTTCACTAATTTAAATCATGCATATAAATTTCACAAAGATCGGGTGATAACTTTTGGCGTTCACAAGGATCAATAAAGTGAAACAAGGGCCAAAACTCTAGACGTAATAAACGGAAACTGCTGAAATTCAATAGGCTTCTTCGTTTCAGTAACCTAAATAATGCATATAAATTTCAGAAAGATCGGATGATAACTTTTGACGTGAGAGCATTCACAAGGATCAATAAAGTGAAACAAGGGCCAAAACTCTAGACGTAATAAACGGAAACTGCTGAAATTCAATAGGCTTCTTCGTTTCAGTAACCTAAATAATGCATATAAATTTCAGAAAGATCGGATGATA